ACTGACTCCTGGGCACTGTCAATAGGCAGGCCACACGGCCGGGCAGGACAGCAGTGGGAGCCTGGCCTGTTAGGGAGATGCCTGCATGCAGCACAGCCCTTGGAAGTTTTAGGGGTACACTAAAGCAGGGCATGCTGATGCCCTCAAACTCCTCCCTAGGGCCTGAAGAACACGGGCAGACGTCCTCGGGTGCTCATTTCAGGTGGCTACCGGTCCACAATGAGTGGCACAGGGAGCTGAGAGGCAGCAAGCACAGATGGGCGAGCGCAGGCCTGCTCCCGCTGCCCTTGGGCAGAATGCCAGCAAGTGGATCTGCCTGCCAGCAGCAGGGTCAGGCTGCAACGGCCACACACTGCCCAGAAGGCTCTGAACCCAGCTGGCGGCCCTGGAAAACTCCAAATGGGGCTGGACAGGACTAGACGGTCCACAGCTGGCCTTGCTTGCCTGGTAGAATTGCAATACCCAGAGTGCTCCAGGAAAACCAGAATGGAAATCAGGGCAGATGTGGACAGCCAGCTGTCACCTCTCCACACCAAGGAGCACAGCATGTGGCCATCACTGGCAGGGAGTCACAGTCACAGTGTATCACAGAAATGTAATTAGAAACCGAAAGGCTGGCCGTTTAACATGAAGACAGATAAAGGGAAGAAGGACCAAAGGGGTGTCCCTGTTAGATACTCCCCATCTTCCCAGTGCACGCTGGAGTGGCCATAAGCTTCTTGCTGGGAGAGGAGTACACTGGTTGAGATGATTATGCCATTTCCTTATTATTTTCTCTACCCCATCAACTTTCCACCCCAGCAGTGGTCACAGGATTGGGGAGGTAACTACAAGTACCAAAGCCAGGGTGATAATTCCGAGGTGACACATGTTGGAATTCCCAAGGGCCTGATGCAGGTGGGCTGGGCTTAATCTCACCTGGCAAAGTTAACAGTAGATACCACAATATTCCTTGGTGGTGACAATGGCCATGAGCCTGACACCCAGGCCACTTTTCCCTATCTGAATAGGAACGAACTGGAGGAGACATTTCTTGGACTATGATAAAAGATTCTAGAGTGTCCTTAATTTAAGTACAAGGCTGGAGGATGGAAGGGAGAAGAGACTGAGAAGTTAACCAGCCAACAACTGTGGGAGAAGCCAGCAAGATGGTCCATGCCTGATGACCCTGGCTTAAGCCACATCCTGCTGCCCCCAGCCAGGTATGCAGCTCTCTGGGCAGAAGGGTGGGCATCCGTGCCCAACTCACTCATGCTCTCGATGTCAAGAGAGTCCACAACGGAGCGCTTGTGCTCGTCGCCTGCAATGGCCCGCTCAAAGGCCTTCTGCTTCACGATTTTGTTGCATTCCTGATACTTCATTTTGGCATCTTTGTCGTGAGGCTTCACCTTCACCACCTGGGAGAGGGAGGAAGTGGGAGAGAGGAGACAGGCATCAGCATTCACCATGCGGGGAGGCCTGCCTGGTGGGGGGACGCATAGGCTCTGCGGCGTGGGCTCTGAAGACACTGAAGTGACCATGGGCCGTAATGGGGCAAACTGGGTGTTTGTCATCTCTGAGTTTTGGGTTCTGCAACCCAAAATAGATCAGAGCTGCCACAAGGGGCAGACGCAGGAGCCCATGCAGGAGCTGTCAGAAATCTTAGCTGTAATGACTGGTGGGAGAAAACACACTCACCTAAGGATCACGTACTCAGCCTCAGTGTCCTGGGGCACAGGTGCAGTGTCTAACTAATCAGCGCAGGGGGTGGGCTCCAGGCAGCTTGCTATAGCTGAGCCCCAAGTCTGAGCACCCCTATCTGTGAAACCAGTGTTAAAGGGGTCCCCGATGGGGAGCTCGAAGGAATGAGCCAAGTGCTGGCACACAACAGCCACTTGGCCTTGAGCTATGTGGGAGTCTCAGTTTCCTATATGAAGATGAGCCCTGGGCAGGTGGTCAGTGTCCCTCTGTAAGGTGCAGCCTGCAGCAGTAAAACCTCAGAGGGCACTGTGAGAATGCCATGCAGGACCACACGTACAGGCCACGCACGGTGTCAGGAAGGGCAAGCGCCCATGGGCCTGCCCACTCCCCACAGCCCCTTTCATTGGCTGTCTTGCTGATGGACTGAAACCAAACAGAAAGCACAGGGCACACGGCTTTGGGACATGGAATGTTTCCAGTAAGAGGAACCTACCTCTCCTCTCTCTCTACCTTCTGCCCTGTTTCCTGCAAATGCCAATACTGAGCTGAAAAGTAGGCGGAGCAAGATTCAAATGCTGGCTCTGCCACTTACCTGCTGCAGCCCCAGGCAAGAGAAATCACCTCTCTGTAGTTATCTGTAACCCTGGACCATCCTGGAATGCCCACTTGCATGGTCTCACTAGCAGGAGGCCCCCTAAGCTCCTGGGCCAAGGGAGAGGCACAAGTGCTGGGCTGGTTCTAAGGGGCAGGGGCTCCCCCTGGAGGAAAGCCTGGCAGATGAGTCTGACACTGATGGAAGAAAGACGCTGGTTACGTCAGCAGGGCCAATGGCAGGGTGGCAAAGTCCATGTACCCTGAGGCAGGTGCGTGGAGCCAGTGGGTGAGAAAAAGCTGTACAGTGGCAGGTGCGTGACGGGCTCTTCCCTGTCTTGGCAGGTGCAGGCTAGGGTGCTGGCCTGGTGGCTCCACATGGGGTGAGGGAGGCTGGCAGCACCAGGTATCCGCTGAGCGCCTTCCCATAGCAGAGACTATGAGTCCACACCCCAGGACAAAGTCCACAACACGGCCTGGCCTGGCCTGTGAGGCCCCACCAACCCCCACTGTTTGCCTGGTACTACCAGGCAGACCACTCAGCCCCAGATGCACCAGCTCCAGGCCTTGCCAGGCTGGCCCCTGCCCCGCCTCCTCTCTCCCCCAAGTGCTTTCTAGCTCAGGTCTCAGCATCCTCCGCCCCAGTAACTTCTCACCGCATAGGCCAAGGTTAGGTGCCCCTACTGCAACAAGGCCACCGCCTGCTGGGATTCCTGTGGAGCCTCAGAACAGTGACCCGCCTCCGCCAGGCCTTGGTTTCCTCATCTGTAGGTAAGGGGCAAGGACCCCACCATGCGGGATAAGGGCTTCACCATGGGGGCTGCTATGCAGATTAAATGAGCTATTATGGCAGGTTGTCAACTGGCCTGGCCTCCCGGAAATGCTGTAGGAAGCACTGGCTCTGATTAGCCAGTTCCTGTGCATAGCCATACCATGGTGTCCGGGTGCTTATATGGACTTGCAGGGTAAAATGCGTTTCTAAAGGACCACGCTGGACGCTACGTTCAGAAACCAAAAACAAAGCCAGAGACCACACACAGTGGTTTCTGAGGTAGGGACCTAAGTAGAGGCAACCTCACCTGGTAGGAGTACCAGAAAGGACAGGGGTATGTGCATGTGACATGGCCCACAGTAAAGGGAGATGCATCACCGGGGCCAAGGGTTGGGCCAGAAGGTGGAGCAGAACAGATACATCTGGCACCCGTGCCCTAGCCACGTCTGGGAGCCGTGGGCAGACCTTCCTGTGGGCCTTCCCACGTGGCGTCTGCAGACACCTGGAGGAGACGGTCACCCCTCTGGAGGCACCGCTATCACTTACTCCTGTTCACCGGTCCTAGCAAACCCCCCTTCTGTGGATGAGAACACTGAGGCCCGGGAGCCAAGGCTCTCAGAGCCCCAAAGCTGCTGAGCTGAGCTGGGTGCGAACCTGAGGATCCTGACCGTGGAGCTGGCGTCCTCTAACTCACGGCAAGAAATACATGGGACTTCTACCTCACACCCAACAAATCTCTACCCATGAAAGTACAAATATTTTCACAAAACAATACATACAAATTTCTTCCCATGAACATCTTTTCTTCTTTATGCATTCAACTGACTTCATAGCTCACTAAGTTCCAGTCACGGGCTCCAGGTGAGTCCTGGCTCTGTCACCTCCTGAGCTCCCCCATGCACATGAGGAAGAAGAAACTGAGGCTGAGCCTACAAGGTTCACCCAAGGGCCCCAGCTGCCAAGGGCAGCGCCTCAGGCTCACTCACTCAAGGTCAGACCTCGCTCTGCCTCGACAGCTAGCTCCTGGTTCTGGCCCTGTTCTTGGTGACTCTCCAGTCTCTTGTGTGAGACGCCCTGGAGAGCATGAGGCAGAGTCCCTGGGCTCAGCCCCAAGCCCGATAAGTGTGGGCGAAGTAGGCTGACAGTGGGCGGGAATGTGGATGGCCTGCTGGTGGCAGTTGACTGGAAGGGTAAGTCTCAGGCTTGTGTGGGGTTCTTCAGTGCCGTCTGGGTGCTGAGGTGTGACCCTTCCTCAAGCCAGTTCTACACAGGGGTCTGGACTCCCCCGTCAGCTCACAAGACCTGGCCACTGCTCAGGTGGGGGTGTGCTCGGCTGACTGGCACCAACTCCTGCAGCCTCTTGGGGTTTGCAGGGAAGGAACTCACGCCTTACTCGGTAGCAGGGATCCACTCCCTGCCTGCCCTGGGCTCCTCTCAACTTCCGTCCCCACCTGTCTCCTCCAAGTGGCTCCTCTTTCTGGAGCCCAGCCCCACTGCCCTCTGGGTTACTCATTGCTAAGCCCTCTAGCCCCAGTGACCTTTACCCATACCACTTCATCAGAGCCCCACAGCTGGCCAGGATACAGTCACTCTTCTGACTCTACTCTCCAGACTGGGACAAAAAAGGGAGTGGCACAAGGTAGGGCTTGGGCACCCAAGCTCACAGGGACTCTGCTGCACTGCCATTTGCCCCGTCCTCCCGGGTGTAACCTCAGCCCCTCTCCGCACACTGTCCCCACCTGGCAGTGCTCTTCACACTAGGTTCCCTCCAACTGCAGACATGGCTTCCCAGATATCTCAGTGTCCCCAGTCACAAAAGAGGCAAGTGAAGGCCAGGGACTGGAAGTGTGTGGCACTGGGTGGGTAAACTGCCATCACTCTCATGCCCACTTGTTCTTTTCTTTCTTTTTTCTTTTTTGGTGGAACCAGGGATTGAACTCAAGCCCTTGCACTTGCCAGGGAATCACTTATTCTACTGAGCCATCTCCCCAGCCCATACAGCACCTGTTCTTAGGAAGCTGATGCTCCAAGGAGAGGACAAGGCTGAGGGGCTCTAACACTTAGTGCTGGACAAATGACTTCATAATCAGACCTCAGGCTCCTCCCAACCCCTCCCAGAGTCGCTGCAGAGATTCACGCATGTACTGGCAGGTCCCACGGCTGTCAGGACATCACCACTGCTCAGGCCTCCAGCAGGACAGCAGGCAAGAAGTGAGTCGTTAGGTAGCAAATCCTTCAAGACCTGCCCAAAGCCACAGGCAACACATCCCCACTAGCACACGCCAGCCTGTCCTACTACCTTCAAGAGCACAGATCCCATTCTACAATTCCTTTGTTCACCTACTTCATTACGTGGGGCTCTTGCTCACAGTCAGTAATAGCAACAGTGATTATAATCATAAAGTTAATTGTTACAGATGACTGTGCGCCAGCACTGCTGTAGGCTCTGAGGAGCAGCAACACATTCATTCCCCGCACCAGCCCTTGGGGAGGCCTGAGCTTCTCGGTTCACAGATGCGGAAAGCAAAGCACAGCAAGAGTGGTGACCCGCCCAAGGGCAGAGTGCAAGAGTGGTGGCAAAGCTAGGATGGGAATCCCCCTGCAGAGTGCTCCAGGCTAGGGGCCTGTGGGCATCTGCTGATGGCAGAGTGGCGAGGGAACAGGGACACTCCTTCCCCCCACCCACCTGGCTCAGGGGCTGGGAGCTGGCCCATTCCCCGAGGCCCGGCTCACCGTCTCATAGTCACGCAGGGCAGCCCTGAACTTGCCCAGTGCCATGTTGCTGGCAGCCCGGCGGTAATAGCCCTTGATGTACTTCTTGTCGATCTCAATGGCCCGAGTGGCGTCGGCCAGGGCATAGCCGTAGCACTCAGTGCGCAGGTAGGCCAGGCTTCGGTTGCCATAATAGATGGCATTGCTGGGGTTCAGCTCGATGGCCTGGCTGTAGAATTTGATGGCGTTCTCGTAGTCCTTGGCTGTGGAAGAAGGAGCAGTATGAGATGGGGTCCTGGGCAAGAACCGGTACTGTATCCTTGCTTACAGACGAGGAAACGGAGGTCCACAGTGGAGCTGAGAAATGTGTCCCCAGCCTATCTGCTCTTCCCTGTCCAACTGCCCCACCCTAGCTCTAGCCTTGTCTCCCCAAGCCACGGTCAATGTCACATTCAGTTCGGCCCCCTAGAGACCCAGCTGGGCATTATTTCTCCTAGAACTCTAGGAGAGGCTCCCCGCTCTCCCCACGTGTAGAAGGGAATCTTAGTGCCACCGAGGTTATCTGAAGGAGATCTGAATGAGGCCAACTGGGTGTGCCCGGAGCTCTCTGGTTGTCCAGCTCCCCCAAAAAGAGAGGGCTACGTGTGACAGGAGGTAGAGAAGAAACAACTACTCGGGGCTCTGGACTAGAGGGACGGCGTCCCCACAGAAGCCACAGCATGTACAAAGGCCAGGAAAGGACCAAGGAGAGGTGAAAGGAAGGCTGATGGGACAAATCCCCTGGGCCCTGGCATCCATGGTGAGGACTAAATGTTATTCTGCATGTGGAGTGACAGGGTGTGACACTTAGCCAAGGGCAAAAGGTCAGACTTTATTTGAAATGAGCCACAGCTGTCCCCCATGCTTTACATCCTGACCTGTGGAACCCTCCGGTCTGCACAGCTTAAGTGCCATCTGGTGTGCACCTGACAGAGCCGCAGTGGTCTCGTTCAAGGTCAAACGCCTCGCCTGTACCTGCAAAGCCAGGCCTGCCTCCTCCCACATGACACACAAGAGGAAGGAGAACCCAAGCCTGCAGGGCCTCAGAGTTTTACCCAAACTGGGAGGTCAGAAGGTGCCAAGTGCCACAGAGTTTTAGTACAGGAGTCAGTCACAACTAACCTTCACAACAACCTGAGGACAGCAGCTTCAGCCCATTCTCCAGAGGAGGGCACTAAAGCTGCACCAGGAAGGTTTAAGCTGGAGTGAAGTCCCACAGCATATGATGAGCAGGCATGCTCGTCAGGCCAAGACCAAAATGGACCCACGTTTAGCCGGACCACCATGTCTGGCTGTGCTCTAGATGGAAGCCCAGCACAGGCAGGCAGAGGGACACAGGATGGGCCTGGGCCCAATCCTTGGCTCTGCCTCTTACTAGTGTGTCCCTGGACAACTGACATACCAACTCTGGACTTGAGTTTGTGTCTTCTCCTATGGCACCTTGAAGACTAAAATAGGAGTCCCTACTCTAGTCTTCTCCAGAACATGTAGCCAACAGCTGTGACTGTCCTGTTTGCTTTGTTTGCCTATAATTGATCTCCCATATCTGAACCTAAGCTCAGGGTGCAGCCCATCTGTCTTACTTTCATGAGTTCCTGTTCTTTCTGGGGGACACTGAAGCCCCCAGTCCTGCTCTCCCACCATACACAGCTGAGTGTAGGAGAAACACCTATTTCCACACAGACAGTGATGATCCAGAGTGTTCAGGGCAGCTGGGTGATCTTGGCACTCAAGAGGCCGAGGCAGGAGGAACACCATGAATTCAAGGCCAACCTGGGGTACACAGTGAGTTCAAGGCTAGCCTGAACTGCAGAGTGAGATCCTGTCTCACAAACAAACAAACAAACACCACAGTGTTTAGGACCAGGCAGCCCAGAGGGGGTGTTGGAGCTTCCTCCACCTGGAGGACAAGAGTGAGTCAGATGAAGATAATGAGTGAGGAAAGAATGGAGGGAGAAAAGGAGAGGACAGAAGGAGGGAAGAAGGGAAAGATGGGAGGACAGAGACTGAAATTAGAGAAGGGATATGACCAGGTACTACAGAACAATCCTTCCTGGCCATCTTCCAAGTGGCTCAATGTCCCTCCTTTAGAAAGCCCTACTTGACCTCTGGGTCAGGTGCCACCTCTGGGCTGCCCCAGCCCAGCCAGTGCTCTGAGGGTAAGGTGTTCCTCAGTTGCATGGCACGGGGCAAGGCACCTCCCAAGAGGTGGCACAGATCCCTAACATGAGACAACAGGCAAACTGGCGCCTCCCTCGGAACCTCAGTTTGTGCATCAGAAATCCTAGTCTCACAATGGGCTGCAGCCAATGAATGACTAAACAAAGGGAAGAGGGAAGGAGAAAGGAAATGGGAGAGGCCGCATTATACCCACATGCTGCTGGAGGAGGCAAGCCCTGCTCTGAGACACCAGCTCGCCTAACCCTCCAGGCAGTCCCGATTCCAGAGATGAGGAGTCAGGGAGGTCAAGGCGCATGCCCAGGCTTGAGCTTCTCCACTCATTCTAGATCAGGAAGACCCTTGGGAGTTAAGCACCACCCCCTCCCCCATTTTGCAGAAAGGGGTACTGAGGCCAGGGAAAGAAGAGGGAGGACTGGGACTCAGACTGTGTCTAGGTCTCAAGTCTCCTCTCCCCATTGCAGTCCCTCTTCTTCCCACAGAGACCATGGTTCTGAGGCTGCAAGAGAACATGTGGAGAGGAAGGGGATATCCGGCTGCACTTACACTCTGACCTTGGGTGAGCAGTTTCGCTTTTCTGAGTTGCTTCCTCTATAAAACAAACAGGGCTGCTCCTACCTACTTCTCAGGGCCTCAGGGAGGATTAGCCCAGCAAGTACCTGGCCACCTCTGGGGCTCAATTAAAGTGAGCTGTAATTATTCCTTTTATTGTTATTCCCATAGCCCCTGAGCCTGGGACTCTGTGCCTGCCACTGCCTGCAAGAAGGCTGGACCAGGGGGTTGTTCTCCAAGCCAGCTCTGTGCTAGGCATCTCTGGTTGCCTGCACAGCACCCATGGCTCCTGAGAGCACAGGTCCCAGGTCCTCCAAGTCAAGGGCCCTTCCCCATGGCTTACTGTTTCCCAGAATACTCACCTCATCAGCAATCCCAATTCTTGCTGTTTTTCTCAAGCCCCACGGAAGAGAACAGCTGTACCTTAAGCCCTACCACCTAGCTGGAGACATGGCCTCATCCTGAGCTCCTCCTGACCCCTAGACCCCAAGCCCAGCATTTTCATTCTGTCATCAGCCTCCTAAGCATCTCTCACATCCATTCCCTCACTTTCATCCCTGTGATCCCCCCCTGCCACCCTGCCCTGGTTCCTGCCCCAGACTCCAGACCTGGCCCTCCAGAATCTTACTAAAGCAAAAGCCTCTTTTTTCTGTTCAGTGCTATCCAGGGCTTCCCAAAGCCCTCAGATGAAAGTTGGGGCTTCAAACATTCTGTTGCCTGCAGCCTCACTACACACTTGTTTACCTCCTCCATTCCAGACACCCCTCTTCTAGGTGCCAGGTTCTGCTCACCTTTGGGCCCTTGTCACCAGGTTCTTTCTGCCTGGAGAACCCTCTTCCCCCACTACCATCCAGCCTGGTCTGAGTCCCTACCACCTCTCACCTGTCCTCTGTTCTACCCTCCTCCTCAAGCCTAGCCTCGTGCAGAACTGCCTTTTTAGCCACTCTGTACACCAATCAGCACGGGATCTTTTTCCAAAGCTAATCAGACCACGTGGCTCCTCTCTTAAGACTCTCCTGGTTCCCCATCACCTTCAGAATGACACCCTCACTCCCTAGCCAGGCCTCCTACCTCTGGCTGAATCTCTCTCCAGTCCTACCTCCTTTCCTTGCTCTCATCTGACCAAACATCGGGCTCTAGAGCATCCCACTGCTCAGCCACCTTCTCCAAAGTTGTCCAGCTATGAGTCTCTCCTGCAGAATCAACTCTGTCTCTCTGCTGGACCATCCTTGAAAGAGGTGACTTGCTCAACACACTCCCCTTCAGAATTCAATACCCAAACTTGTCAGCATCTGTTGCTTCACCTTTCTCACCTGCCATGTACCCACAGTGCCCCCCTCCCCAGTGGACTATCACCCTGTCATTCCCCAGGTATTCACACCAACTGCAGCTACAGAGCTGTTGGCCAAGGCTTGGTGCTCGCTTTGGCAGCATCTGATTGAGGGAACCTGTCTCTTTCCTTCTAGAAGCACTGTCTCCTCTCAGTTTTTTTTTTTGTTTGTTTATTTTTGTTTTTTTTTTTAATTCTTTGCGATAGTGGGGATTGAACTCAGGACCTTGCGCTTGCCAGGCAAGCACTTATTCTATCTGAGCTATCTCCTCAGCCCCTCCTCTCAGCTTTTGTAACACCCTCTTCCTTTTCACTTTATTAACCACTACTTTCAGCATCCTCATCTTGCATTCTAAGTATTAGAATTCCTCAGGGTTCCATTCTAGATCTTCTCCAGACACTATTCTTAGGTGATCTCATCCATTCTAGAAATAGGCCAATCAAGTCCAAATTTTCTTCCAGTCCAGACCTATTCAATGTGTCTTCTACACAGGTGGGTAAAACAGGTGAGACCCTACACGATCTGGCCTCCATCCTCACCTTATCTTCAATCAGCTTCCTCCCCAAACTTGCTAAAGCTCAGGTCATGAGGGCCTCTTTTCCTTCCTTACCCCATGGCCTTTGCACATGCTGTTCCATCTAGCCAAAACACTTCTTCCCCAATTCTCCTCCAGATTTCCGTTTAAATGCCTCCTTCTCCACAAGGCATTCTCTGACCACCTTATCTAAAGCAGCTCCCAACCTTTATTCTCTACTTTATCACTTTGTTGGTTTTCTTTCATCTTAGGCAATTTATTTATTTACATGCTTGCTCAATGACCCTGCTGCTAAATTACAAGTTGTCTAAGGGTAGGGCCACATGTGTCTCATTCGCTGCTCCCAAATGCCCTACATGTTCCTTTTCTTCGGGTCACCCCAAGTCTCCTACTTCCTTGATCTCTCCCAATCTAATAATCTACCCCCTTAACCCCACAGTTCCCTTCCCTACGGGGCTGCTTTCCCGCTTGGTGGTACCCAACTGGATCTCCCAATTTGGTAGCACCATCCCTACTGGCAGTCTAAGGTAGCGCCCTCTTCAGGTCTACCACATTTTTCATTTGATAGCTTTAACATTCCGGCCCCTTCCTGCTCCACACTTGGTAGCTCCCGCCTCAGTCTCCCCATTTAGCAGCTCCCGCTCCGTAAGCCACTTCTGGGTATTATCCCTCCTCCCATAAACCCCTTATGTCGCCTTTGGTAGCGCCATCCCGGGCCTCCTCACGCCCGGTCACTTGGTACTGCCTGCCCCGCGCCCCGGCTGCCGCTCCGCGTTGCCATGGTTCCGCACGGCACCCCTCGGCCTGAGCCGCTGTCCACCCTCCTTCGCCCCGTCCGGGCCAGGCGCACCTTTGAAGTAGTCGTTGGCCTGTGTCTTGAGCTCTTCTGCTCGTTTTAGAGCGCCATCAGCCGGAGGCTCGTCCCGGGGGGGATCTACACACTCAGTCCGCTCGCCCTCCGCCATCGCCATGCCGCAAAGCGACCCCCACCCTGGCAACGGCCGCCAGCGGCACCCGGCCGAACCGTCGCGAAGGAGCGCCGAGTGACCGCCGCCGCTGCCGCGCAAGTGTCGTAAAGCGCGGGCCCCAAAGGCGCCCTTCACGCGCCTGCGCAAAGCCCCTTGTCTCTGTAGAGTGCGGGGAGGACAAGGTGACCAGAGGGTCTCCGCGCAGCGCCTCTTGTAAGAACGAGCCAATAAGGAAAGAGCAAGGGGGCGCGCGGAGGAAAAAGGCTCGGCGCGGCTTCTGCTTCCGGAGCTACCGTGTTCCGAGGCCGCAAAAGTTTCTTAGGTCTTAAAGACCCCGCAGTCCTCTCAGGTTGGTACCGGGTGGGTTGCAGACGCCGCTGGCGGGTGGGGCTGCTGTGCAGGGCCGCGCCTGCCCGAGGGAGAGTGCGCAGCCCGAGCCGCGGCCGGACTGCCAGTTTCTCGAGTGACCTTGAACGAACCCTAACCCGAGTCCAGCGCCTCATGTACCCCTTTGAAAAATGGGTGATTTCTCAAGCAAAGTAAACGTCCCATCTTTTACTTTAGTGTTTCTGTTATTCACTGAAGGCCCCCAGGATCCCCCAGTCCAGAGCAAGACTCAAGTTTGTTGCACCATCTTCGTCCGTTCTGCTCTCAGAATTCAGCTTCCCAGGCCCTGCCGAATCTTCAGAATGATTCTCCGGGTTGTCTCTGCATTTTCTGTCGCCTGGTGCGCAGCCTCAGCCCCCGTGCTGCTTTCATGTGGCCTCTTCCCTCCAGTTCACCCTTCCTATGGCAGCTAAAGCTTCCAAAGCTCTGTAAGACTGGCTCGCTCCCTCTAGCTTTCCTTGACTCCCCAGCCCCCTTAGGATCCAAACTGCTGTGGACCTAGGAGACCCCTGAAGTCACTCCTGCCTCAGGAAACTTCTTCAGCCCCCACCCCACCCCCCGCGCCTTTGTACTTCCCTTCCTACCAGCTTCTTCTAGCCCTGGGCCTCTACTCAGGCAGTCTTTTAAAACTCTGCTCAGGGTCTCTTCCCGGAAGCACAGTCTCCCCCATCCCAAACCTCCTGCCCCATGAGCCGAGCTCACCTCTCCTCCCACCCCACCCCAGCCAACAGTCACCCTAGATACTAATGGGCCTGTCCATTTTACAGACTGAGACACTGATTTTGCATTCAACAGACTTTCACGAAGTCACAAGAAAGGAAATGACAAAAAAAAAAAAAAAAGAAAAAGAAAGAAAGAAAGGAAATGACAGAGGCAGGAGTTGAATCTCTCACTCAACTCTTGTGCTCTTATTCCTACTCTGTTGACTCTGTGCCGGAAGCCACCCTCTGGGTTAGTGAACTTTTCTCCTTGTTTGTTTTCTTTGGGGGGGCTCAAGGGGAGGGAGACCTGGTCTAAAGAACTTGAATTCAACTCAGCTCCTCACACCCAGGCTCTGTGACCTTGGACAAGTGATAACCCTCTCTGAGCCTGTTTTATCCTCTGTAAAGTGGGGTTATAATGGTTTGCTTGGTGCTGTAATGGGGTAGGGGAGCTTCAGAGAGTTATGGGACCTCATCCAACTGAGGCAGATAGGGAAGGCTTTCCAAACAGAGTGTCTTAAGCAAAATTTCAAGTATGAGTAGGATATGGGGGGGGGGGCACAGGTTTTTAAGGCAGAAGAGCCAGCAAGTAGGAAAGCTTAAGAGTGGGTTTTCTTCCCTTGTGAAGATTCCTGTGTGGAACACAGGAGAGAGGTATGAGGGTGACATACACAGAGATGTGACTGAACGGACACATCCTCCCATGCAAGAATCTGTAGACGTTCAATCTCTTGCACACAAACTCATTTGAGTACAGAGGATCATGTCACAGAGTTACACATCAGTTCTTGAAATTCATGTGTCCAATGGTCGCATGCATACATAGCATCACATCACAAAGACAAGAAAATCACGACGCCTCCCACCCAAGTAACCTTACACACACACACACACACACACACACACACTCACTTACCCCAGTCATTCCCCCAGACGCTAACTCCCACACAGGAGGAATTATAACTTCCCAGCACAGGTTCACAGAAGTATGTCACAAAGATCTGCACGCATACACAGGATGACAGCACCAGACACACACTGCACATGCCCTCACAGAAACACAGATGCAACACGCACAAAATCAGTATCACGGCCAGCCAGAGCACCCCACCCTGAGTGGCCCCACAGATGAGTCAACACACTGAGCTCTGGTGCCTACCAAGGCAAGGTCTTTATGGTGATTTGGGGGGACATTAGTGGGTTTCAGAGCCAGCATGGCTGGGCCCCTTCCTTAGCACAGTTCCCCCTGATGAAGGCCCATGTCACCCCCCAGAGGAATCAGACCCTTCCCCTCATAGCACCAATCTGGACAGGCCACCCCCTGACAAAACAGTGAGTGGTGCCTCCCAAAGAGGGGGTGAAAGGGTGGTTGGTTTTCCCATTTTAGACAAGAGTAGCACCATCATGGAGGGCAGCTGAGGGTTAGGAGGATATAGCTGATGGTAGAGAGTGGAAGGCCTCGCCTATCTCCCCCTACCCCAAGATAGGCAGGTAGGGCTGTACCTGTGCCTATACTGCTGGAGAAGTTGATTGATTTAGCCTAGACACTGGCTAAAGTCAAGATAAATGGAAGACTGCAGGGCTGGGGTGGGAAGTCGGGGGGTTTCTAGGACAGAGATCTTAGGAATAAGAGATGGGAAGTTCATAAGCAAGGGCCTGGGGGTGTGGCATCTGGAATTGGAAGACTTAAGACCAAGGGCAAGAACTGGGACCAGTTTAGCTGGGGTGGGAAGCCCATAATGGAGTAAGGAAGGTATGGAATTGTGATGTCAGGCTTTACAGGAGTTGGTACCAAAGGGATCTACAGGACAAAGTCTAGATGGTAGAATCAGAAGCATTTGGAATTAAAACTCTAGCACCAGAGACATTTATAGGATGATAAGAGGAAGACTGCAGAACCAGGAAGATTTTGAAGTCACAAGACCCAGGAATCAGAAGAACTGGGGTAAGGTTTAAAACCATAAAATGTATAAGACAGTGTGTAATCAGAAGAAGTTTGAAGACTGAGCCCTAGATCTAGGCTAATCTGGGGTGGCAACATTGGGATCTTGGCGATTTGGAAACTAAGGTATCCATCCTAGGGAACTTCCAGGGTGAGGTCTAGAGTCATAACTTTTGTGGCTGAGTACTAGAAGCAGAGAAGTAGCAGATCATGAGCTCTGGGTCAGAGGATCTTGGAGGGTGCAAGGTCTAGAGATTGGGTAGTTTAGAACTGGTGCATGGTGGAGGCCGTGAGGGCCTGAACCTAAGAAACAGCATGTGCTCTCTGGCTCTGGAAGAACTGATTACAAGGCAGAGATACAAGGCTTATTTTACTTCTCTTTAATGAGTGCAGAGCGTTGAGGAGGAATGAGCTTAGGCACCCTGTGGTTTGGAGTCAAAATGGTTTAGAAATTAAGAGGTCTGAATTTGGAACCAAGATGTCCTACAGGTCAGAAAGCCTGGAGCCAAGCGGAAGCTCCAAGCTGTGGAAGTCTAGAACCAGAAGGAGTTACAGAATGAGCTCCAGGACCAACAGAACCTGGTGGTCCAAGGCTCTAGAGCAAGAGGCAGTTAGAGGTTGTGTAGCTCACAGCAATCTTTGGAACTCAGAATGTTTGAAAACAAGCAGGCTCAGAGGTTTTAAGATCTCAGATGAGAAAGCGCTGAAGATCTCAAGATCTGGAATGAGAGGGTTCTGATGGATGTGAAGTCTGCACTAGACCGTGTCGGAGGCTGTACAGTCGAGCAGCAGGAAAGGTCAGAGGTTGCTCAAGTGAGGCCAGAGCTTGTGTGTTCTAGAACCAACCAAGGTCTAGGCTCTATGGTCTGGAAGCAAAGGCAGTTGGAGGCAACCCCTAAAACAGGAAGACCACGAAGGAAGTCATATTCCAGGTGAGGCTGGAGGCAGTAGGAAGTCCAGAGTGGAAGGGACAGAGAGAACTGGGGCAGTGTGGGAGACTCCCACTCAGAAGTCGCTGGAGGGTGAGGTCTGTCTCGGAACCTGCCCCCATGGACACCTGAGGACCAGAGTCCTACAGTCTTATGGGTCCTCAGCATCTCATAGTCATTAAAAGCCATAACACAAAAGCAATAATAGAAGAGGGACAGAAAGAAATAAGATTGTGGTTATCCATGCTCTCCAGAGCCCAGAAACACAGCTGAGACCCCAGCCCGCTACCCCTAGGTCCCCAAAATAAAGCCAAGAGAAAGGAAGAGTGAGGTAACCACGTGTGGAGAACCCCAAAGAAGTCCTGAGAGCAGGAGGAGGGGGCCAGAGACCCCCTCCCAGAGGTCACTGAGCTGAGGCCACCCCAAAGATCCCCTGAATAGATGTGGACAGAAGGGGCACTGAGGTGGGCCTGAGGCTGGCGGGGCACCCTGGTGAGGCCTACTCCGTGCGTCGTGGCCGGTGTGGAGTGTGGCTGAGGTCCTCTGTGGGTGGGAGCAGGAAGGCAGGAAAGGCGTGAGCTCAGTGGGCCTGGGCCAAGCCTGTGGCCGGTAGGAAGTGGCTCCTGGGCTGGACAGCATCCTCATCTGGGTAGAGAGAGAGCAGCGAGGGGCCCAGGCCTTCTGAGAGAGATGAAAGGTAAATCTTGGAGGATGAGCCCCTCTACCCCATCTCCCCTCCTGGAGCTAGAAAGCAGGGAGGGAGGCAGGCCTGCCTGATTCCATGGCGGCAAAACCTTGAGCAAGGACGGCTGTGGTTAAGAACCTGTATTCAGGGGCTTGGGGTACAATTCAGTGGCAGAACATTAGTTTAGCATGTGTGAGGCTCTGGGTCTCTTCCCCCCTCCCCCGCCACACACACCCAATTTGAATCCAGGTATTGCTCTGTGGAACCTGGGACAGGAGACTTGACCTCTTTGGGCCTCAGTCCCCACCTGTAAAATGGGCTAATAACAGTCCTCCCTCTAGGGCTGCTGGGAGAAGTCAGTGAGCCCACAGGACAAGCTCTCTGACCATAACTAGTGCCAGGGCACATTGGTGAGTGAGCTGGTACCTTTAGGAGGAGCTGCCCCACCCACACTTACTGAGCACCTCCTGGGAGCTGGGCAGAAACTCCCTGCCTGTGGGCTGACATTCCAGAGCAGATGGCTGATGCGATCACGTCCAGACAAGACCTAGCTTGTAACTTGGCACACAGCAAGCGCTCAGTCAGTACTAGCTCCTCATTCACAGCTGTGCCCAGCTGCTGCCCAGGTGGCATGAGTGCGCACAGTACAGTGCAGCCCAGACAGCCCTGCCCTCATGGGTGTCAGAGCCCCAGGTAGAAGACAGTCTGTAGTCAACTAAGGATGCAGATGCCTGGGTAATGATGGACGGGGAGTTTAGGAAGGAACAGAGGGTCCCAAGGGAGGAGTGATACTGGAACTTGGCAAAGAACACAGAAAAGCATTCCTGGCTGAGAGCTGGGATATGCAAAGGCCCTGTGGCAGCTGCCTCAAGAAAGGCAACTTCAAGCCAACACAGCGCCCTCCAGGGGCCCTGTGCCATCTGCCCCTCACCTTTTCCATTCTTTTTATTTTCGTATACCAGACAGACACAGCCCCACCTGGGCACCTTGGTACCTTGGTACCTGCCGGACCCTCTGTCTCTTAACAGTCTGCTCCAGAATTCTTCAATGATAACTCCTTTTGTCTTTGCCTGACTGTCACCTTCTCTGTGAGGCCAACCCTGATCCTACTGCTGAAAACGGAAACCCCCCCTACCCCAGAACTGTCTTTTTTCCCTGGCATGCGTAATCTTCCCCTACTTATTTTCAGCTCTTGCTTTTTTTGGGGGGGGAGTTTGTTTTCATTTTTGTAATACTATTGGGGATGGAACCCAGGGTCTCACACATGCTAGCCATCATTTCTACTGCTGAGCTAAGTATAATCCTACTCCTTTATATTTTTATTTTGATCTAGTTAAATTTCCCAGGCTGGCTTCAAACTGGAACCCTCTTGCCTCAGCCTCGCAAGCAGATGGGGATTACAGGTATGTGCCAGCACATCCAGCTCTCTTGGACCCTTCATTGTGCTTGTTTCTCTGCCATGGTCTTTTTTTTTTTTTTTTTTTTTTTTTCCTTTCTGGAATACTAGCCCCACCAGGGCAGGGATTTCTATGTTTGGTTCTGTGAAACTCAGGTGCCCAGGACAATGCCTGGCACTTCCCACACATTCCATAAATATCTCTGTGTATAAAGAAAAGAGTAAACCAGAAGACAGAGTGACACAGGTTGTGTGATCTGAGATGGAGCAGCAGCCGGGGCCCATGGGAACTCGAGTCCACAGTGAGGAAGCGGATCTTTCTCTGAAGGACACTTGGAAGCCATGGAAGAGTTTGGAGCAGAGGGGCGCCAGGGCAGATGGATGCTTTAGAGAGATCCCTCTAGCTGATCCACGAGGTTTCAGCTAGAGCACTGGGTAGTTTGATAGTTGCACTGGAAATGATACTAACACAAGCGTAACAGCTTGTCCCACGTTCTGAGAGAAGCTGCCAGACCAGCTCGCCACCGTGGCCACAAGTATAGATGTTTCATGACACGGGCCTTATAGGGAAAACTCTGCCGGTATGGCATCTGCACAGGGCCTTGCAACACCTCCTTCAGCTAAGAGCTAGAAGCAGTGGGTCCCAACCAAGAATTGAGGGGGAAACTGAGGCTGCGCAGGCAAACACGGACACAAAGCCTCGCAGCTTGGGATGCCCACAGCTCAGTCCGGCTCCAGAGACCTGGGCCTGGCTCCAACCCCAAAGGGCACCTCACATCTCTGTCCTCCTCGGGGTCCCACCCTGCGCCAGAGCCCAGGAGAGGAGGCAGGGGCTGCCTGTTCCACCAAGGTCACCCTCGTGCTGTGGCGCAGCCCCCGCACCCCCGGGATGGTGCCATCTTCCCCTCCACCATCCAGCACCTCTCTTGGGGACAGGGCCCAGAGCTGTTGCACGTCTGGGTTGCAACTCACCCAAAGGCTCATTCATGTCCAGGAGGTGGGTGGGTGGGTCCTGCTGGATCCCTGGGGTTTGGCCTCCCATCAGGAGGAAACTCTGGGGAGAGAGACAGATCTGCCATCACTACTATGCAAGGAAGCAAGATGGTGCAGTGGTCAGTGCAGGGCACTGTTGGAGTACAGCAGCCTCTTGTGAGCAAGTCAGTGTCCCAGCGTGTCATCTGTGTGTTCCTCCAGAGCCTCTTCCTTGTTTCTCCTATACCCAGGAGGCTGACTGTGTGCACAGACCACAGCACCACACAACCTGGCTGTGGACTTTGCTGGGTGCTGTGGATGGGGCCAGCGGCAGGTGGGGTGGGTGTAGCCAGGGGACACTTTCCCTCCCCAGCTGCTTCCCTGCTGGGTGTCTGGCTACTCTGTCCCTGTGTAGAACACTTCAGCCTCTCTCTGGGACCGACGGTCATCCCATCACGCCTGCAGGCTGAGGGTGGTGCTGGTTCCCACAGGGCCAGCGCTGGCACACCACCAGCCCTGTGGCCGCCCCTGCACCCTGTCCACAGCCTTGTGAGCTGTGCCGCTGCTCGATTCTCCTCAACACCCCATCTGAGTGTGTTACTTCCTGTCCAGATTGGCTGATAAAAGCCGCTTAACCTCGTGTGGTGTGTACCTTGGTAATAACATTTCAGGAGTGTTTCTGAGGATTCTGTGTGTTCATCGTGCAAGGCACTATGTAAAGTCTGCATCTGGCACACAGTAGGAACTTAATAAATGCCAGGAATTGGTATTTCCCAGCACACCCCTGGCGTTCAAACAGCACTCATCAGACTCAAAAGCCTGGAAACCCTTCTGTGGGCACCAAGGAGCCACGAGAGGACCTAGAGGGCGACTGGTGTGACGACACAGTCCAAGCTGGCTTTTAGAAAGTACATTCTGGGCTGCAGATGTAGCTCAATGGCACAGCATCTGCCTGGCAAGTGCAAGGCCCTGAGTTCAAGTATCTGTATTAAAAAAAAAAAAAAGTGCATTCTGCTTGCTGTTGTGCAGAATGGATGGTTACATGAGGCAAAGAGACCAGAGGGCTCTACTTTTTCTTTTTTTAAGGTACTGGAGCTACTGCATGCTAGGCAACCATGTTTTCCAACACCATTAAATGGCATCTCACTGAGTATTAGCCATGGCCGGATACCATGTAACCCTCATGGCAGTCCTGTGAGACACAGCTTTCCCACTTGCCAGATTTAGCTTCTGAGACTCAGGGTTGACACCAGCAGCCTAAAGTGGCAGACCTGGGACTCGAACCCACGTCAGCCTGACTCTCCTGTTTAAAACTCTCGACTCTACTAGATGCCCATGACCAAGCCTATTTTGGAGGGGGGTCCCATGGGAGGGGTCCCATGTGGACAGGGAAGATTCCTACTGGTACCCGCCATCTGCGCTGCTCCCTTTACCTTCTTTGATGGCTCTTCTTGGCATTTATCACACATTGGCAAAGCCTTTTCATACCCATTAGCAGAACTAGAAGACCAAGGTCCTGACTTCAGCTGGACCGTTAATCTTCTGTATGACCTTCAGCCAGCCCCTGGCCCTCTCTGGCTTCCCCATCTATAGAACAAGAAGTTTAAGCCTGCTAGGTTCTGAGGGCCGGAACATCCCTCCAATCCCCAGACATACCAGGCTGACGGGAGGCAGCAGGAAGTTTTCAGGTTCTAGGCTGGGGGACCGTTTGGGGGGTTTCACGCCCAGCAGCTCAACCCCCTCGTCCTCTGAGCTCTGGGCCAGGGCCCTGGAGAATGACAGGCAGGACTCTCAGACGTGACAGAGAGGACCGGGCAGGTGTGGGCAGCAGGGGCAGCAGCGATGAGCACCCATGCATGCTCCCAAGCGCCTGCAAACTCTTCACGCGTGTGCCCACCACCCCATTCGTCCATCCGTCTATCCACCCACACATTCATCCACCTACCCACCAATCTAGATCTCGCTCATCTACCAGCTGATCCACTACCCAGCCAACCTCCCATCCATCTCTCCTTTCATTTATATATCTGCCCGCTCCCTCCCTAACCACCGAGCCATCTATTCACTCATCTTTCCATCCATTCATTCATGTACTCACCCATTCAGTTGCTATTCCATGCTGCTACCCATCCATCCAGTGGTCCATCCTTCCACCTGTCCTTCCACCCACTCACCATCCATACTTCCATCCACCCACCTGTCCCTCTGTCTGCCTACTCACTACGTTCATCATTTCCTGCCCTTGTGTACTTATTAGTGTGTTTATTAGGCACCCAGTGTGTAACCGTCCCCAAGCTGGGAGCGTTGCGAGACCGAAAAGTGACCTCTCCCGGAGACTAAACAGGTACATGGCTGCACTTCAGAGAGCAAAAGCTTAGGAAGGAGGACACTGGCTGTTCCTAAATTATATGCAAACAGCATCTGTGCCTGTGTCTGTGGGTGCGAGTACATTAGAAAGAGTCCACAGCTTTCAGTAGGTTCTCCAAGGTATTAGGAAGCGTAGTGGTACTTTCTCAGAGACCGTGGCAGTGTCTTCTTTTCCAGAGCTGGGGCCTCACATGTGCCAGGCAAGTGCTGTACCACTGAGCTATACCCAAGCCCTTTTTATTTTTTTTGTTATTATCACTGTTATTATAGTACTGGGGATTGGGCCCAGAACAGCGTTCTATGACTGAGCTATACTTCCAGCCCCATCTTTTTTCAGTTTTCTTTTGAGACAAGAGAGAAGGTCTCATTAAATTGCCTAGGCTGGCCTGAAACTTGCGGTGCTCCTGTCTTGGTCTTCCGAGTAGAGAGGATAACAAGTGTGTGCCATCGTGCCTAGCCATGTCTTCATTATTGCAAAAACTGCCCCTAAGTCAGATAGCAGTATGTCCCTCAGGGTTGATCCCTGGATGCAGTGGGGTTTAGATGAAAAACCAGAGCAGCAGAGGGGGCTCCAAAAGGCCGGGAGGTGAGGACAGACCAGGCCTGTGCTGGAGACCTTTAGGCCCCATTAATGCCCCCCTTCTACTGTCGCTCACCTTTTCCGAGCCCCAGCAGTGGTGGAGGATGCTGAAGGGTCCCCTCTGGAAGGGCTGGAGCAGCTCAGTCGAGGGTCACTCCCCCATCGGGGCAGCAGAGCAGGCTCAGGGGTCGGGGGCGACAGGCCATGGAAGCTCTGTGCGCGGGGCCGGGGCACAGTCCCTGGAGGACCTTGGTAGGCCCTGGGCAGCTGCTCACTGGAGCTGAGCTGGAAGTCATCATCCATGGAGATGTAGGGGGCCAGCATCTCCAAATCCAAAGTGTCGGCACCCTGTGGAGAGTGGGCAGGGCGGACTTAGGGCAGGAGCTCAGGCCCTAGGTGGCCTGGGTGGGGTCTCAGTTCCACTTTGATTCTGAATCACATGCCTGAGGCCCAGAGTCTGAGCTTCAGTCTCCTCATCTATAAAATAGGTCTAAGGAGCAAGCTAGCTTCCTGGATCCACACCATGGTGTAGCCCATGGCACTGTGACCAACACTGACCTGGGGAACGACAGGAGGTGATTTTGTGTGACTTCTGCTTTAGGCTATAAAACACGCAGTCCCCCACATCCCACAGCTGGGGTTAGGGGAAGCAAGTCTGTGGAGGGGTCCACAGGGACCTGAGACCTTTCTCCAACAGCCCAGTGAGCAACCTTGGGAGTGGATCCTCCAGTCCTAGCCGAGCCTTTTTTTTTTGGTGGAACTGGGGATTGAACTCAGGCCCTTGCGCTTGCCTGGGAAGCACTTACTCTACTGAGCTATCTCCCCAGCCCACGAGCCTTTTGATGACTGAGACTCGTGAGAAACTCCACACTGACTCCCTCCTTCCCTCACTCTCTCTGGCCACCTTCATGGCTCTTGGACCCCTGAGCCTCAGGAGTTACATGAGGTCTTACAAATGCTTGCTACTTTAACCTGCTAAGTTCTGGGATAACTGATTATCTAGAAATAAATACAAGATTTTTGCCAGTGAGAGTGGCAGTGTGCTAAAAATATCAAGGAGTGACTGGAACTGGGCAGGGCTGAAGGACTCATTTGTGCATGTTAAAGAAATCCTAAATGGCCCGAGCTAATAAGGATTGGTGAGAATCTGAAACATGGCACCAGGGAGGCTGGGAGGCAGTGAGCGTGCGGTACGAGACCTGGAGCGTTCCCCGCGCATGGCGTGGCAAGTTTAGCAACACTGCTGCCTCTACTTTGGCGGAAAGGAGAAAAGGGAACCAGCGAACTAGGTGCTCAAGCTGAGATTTCTAACCAGAGTGTCGAAAGTTTCCAGCCCCTGCCTGATTCCCTCTTGAGACCTGGGCTAAAAGGAAGAGGAGAGAGAAACTAAAGGAAGAAATGGCCTGGGGGTAGTCCTGCATCCTCTAATCCTAGCACTCTGGGAAGCTGAGAAAGGAGGATCACAAGTTCAAGTCCAGCCTGGGCAATTTAGTGACTTACTAAGTCCCTGTCTTAAAATAACAGAAGACAGGCTGAGGATGTGGAGTGTAAAGGCTTTAGATTCAATCGTTAGTAACACACACACACACACACACACACACACACACACACACACACTCGCAAAGGAGCTAGGGTTTGAAGACTGAGTTGGCAACCTCTCTGTGAGGTAAAGAATGAATTAACTTTTCCCCAAAGAACTCTTGCCTTTGTCCTAACTCCTCAGAGGTAACCTTGAAGCTCTTGGAATTTCCCAAGTGACATCAATGTCTTTGCTATTAATCATCCACTCCTTGAACCACACTTGATAACTTAGGCCATTAGAGTGACTCAGGATGGTTTATGCTAATGAGGTGATTTGGGGCGGGAGCTGCCGTGCCAGGAAGACCAATCGTGATTCAAGGGCTGAGGCTTTGAGTCCCATGAAATCAGTCTGATAGGAAACGAAGAGAGAGAGAGAGCCTTTGCAAATGGAAGGGGATTGAGAGAGGGGGTTGGGAGGATTTTAAAACGAATTAAGATGTGCTAAGCTCTGCACACATACTGCTGCCTAAAATGAATGTCAACCTTATGCATTGGAAACGTACTAATAAAAACATTTTTAAAAGGGATGAAACCCTGGAAAGGTCACAAGACTCTGGATGACCTCAACTAAGAAAGAAAGAAAAGAAAAGAAAAGAAAAGAAAAGAAAGAAAGGTAAATCAATCAGGAAAGGTGGGCTTGCCATGAAAAGATAATTCAATACACATCCAATAGCTTAGCTATCCGTGCGCAGGGAACAAAACCTCAAAGCCCTGCTCGCCAGGCCCTGGGCGTTTCTGGATCCCAGATCCCCAGGAGGGTAATGTGTCTCCAGGGACGCAAACACTTTCCACGCGGAACCTTTCCAGTTCCAGGAGCTACCTGCTGCCTTTCTTCCATAGTTACTCTGATTCGTACTCTTTTCCTATAGTTCAGTGACAGCTGCTTGCAACTTAAATGGCATTTTGGTTAGCGGAGGACTGCAGATGTGGATGGTGGTCTACAAGATTATAACCTCGCCCAGTTCTTTTTTTGTGTGGAAGCAAGTCTTGCAACACAGGGAAACTGAGAGGGGAACTTCAAGCTAAGAGACCCTGAGCAAGCCTACCCAGCCAGGGCTGGGCCTGTAGCTCAGCGCTACACAGGAGGGGATCGAACTACAGCAGCCTGAGGCTGAAAGCTTTGCTGAAACAGCCACTTAAAGAACTGAGCTAGGGCCAGGCCCCTAACGCTACACAGGAGGAAGGAGGAAGGCAGTACAAGGCCCTGGTTCCATAACCAACACCACAAAAGCCAAACCAAAACAAAATGACACCCAACGAAGCTGCTTCCCAGCTCCTGATTCAGAAATCACGTGACACAATAAATGTCAGTTTGAAGGTAGTAAGTTTTGGGCAATTTGTTATGTAGCAATATGTAACTGATACCTCTTGCCTCTGTCACCTTAGCATACGTACTTGATCAACTGTCCCTCCTAACATCCTTGTTCATCCAGCCAACCAACCAATGGTCTGTCTACCCAAGTATCCATTCACATAGCCATCCATTCAGCCAGCCAGCCAAGCATCTGCCTAAACCTCATCTATCCACCTACCACCATCCATGTAATAAATACAGTGATTCATCCACCCACCCACCCACCCACCCATTCATCCATTCATCTATTCATCCCTTTAGCTACACCACCAGCCCGCCTAAAGCCTGATGTCAGTCCCCAGAGCATAGAGTAGACTATTTTCCACATCAGCCTGCACCTGAGCTATGTCTAGGTCGCTGTCCTCAGACTCCGGGTTCTTCCCCGCAGCACAGAGCCTGTGTGTGTGCTCTACACCTACGAGCAGTTCCTCTGGGAGATCAGCCTGCGGGGAACAGAGCAGAGACAGGGAACTCATCAGACTGGGAAGTGTCAACAGTGAGACATTCTGGAGCTCAGGGTTGAAGTGAGGTTCAAATGTCAAGATTACTGGGGCACCAGGGGGTCCAACAGGAAATGCAGGGCAGCCTGTGGTGTGCTGGGGTGGCTAGCCTGCAGTGTACATGGGTCAGAGCACCTGGGTACATGCTGAGCAACAGGACAGAGTAGGAAAGTAAAAAAGACTAAAACCTGAATCTTAAGACATTCAGGCCCTCTGAGGTTAAAATTTTTGGGGTCCAGAGTCTATAGACTTTCCTGGGATGCAGGGTGAGGCCAAAAGTCAATTGTCTTTCTCCAGTGCAAGGTATTTTCTTGGAGTAGAAGACAGAGATGAGGACAATGAGTAGCAGGTAACGGAGCCCACAGAGGTCAACAAGTCGACTATCCATCCACACTGTGGTAGAAAGGGTTGCCACTAAACTGGGTATGGGGGCGCGTGCCCTAATCCCAGCACTTGGGAGGCAGAGGCAGAAGGATTGCTATGCATTGGAGTCCAGTCTGGGCTACATAGCAAGATCCTGTCTCAAAAAAATTAAAAAAGAAAGGGCTGCTGATAAAGTCTGCTGTAGAGCTGTGAATGCCAGACCCATCCTTCTTTCCTGTGAATGTTCTTTTCTTTTCTTTCTTTTTTTTTTTTTTTTTCTTTTTTTTGCGGAACCGGAGATTGAACTCGGGCCCTCATGCTTGCCAGGCAAGGACTTATTCTACTGAGCTATCTCCCCAGTCCCTTCCTGTGAATGTTCTCATGTTGCCCTCCCAGGGACCAGTGATGTGGCTCCTTGTTCTCGTACCAGTGAGCTCACTAAGGCCTCAAGGAGTCACTTGCCCAGCATCACAGAGCTGGTAAGGAGCAGATTCAGGATTTGAACCCAGGACTCAGTACATTAAGGCATGAGTTAAAACATTCTGGGGATTCCCAACCCAGATTGGGACTGGACTCTAGAATCTCACAGTTGAAGAATCTAGAATCCGCGTCTTAAACAAACTCTGGCCCCATCTCTTCCCAACCTTCCCGTTCAGCAGATAGAGAAACTGAGGCACAGAGAGCAACAGGGCTCAAGCCCTGGGCCTGGGCCTGCTTACCGGGACAGGACTCTGTGGGCGCTGGGCGGCTTGTGGTGTGCTGGGGGTAGTGGTTCCTACAGCCCCATCCAGGATGGGTGCCAGGAGGCGGCGGAGGTCTGGGCTACAGAAGCGGCGGGGGTCAGCAGCCAGGGTGGCCTCGCTCAGGGTGGGGGGGTACAAGAAGGCCAAGATCCGGGGACCTGGAGCATCTGCAGGATGTCAAGGACACACAGTGACCATCCAGACCTGCAGACCAGACCCCCCCATACTAAGGCCAGGGAACACCACCAGTTAGGACAGCTGCTGTTCTTTGGGATGGAGAGAAGGGACCCCACTAAGTGCAAACTTTCATTGCCAGATTGTGGGGAGGCCCTGAAGGATCCAGGAGGAGAGCTCCAGGGCCTAAAATTACACTCAGCTCTTCAGCTCTGGGGGGTTCATGTGGTAAGAAAGAAAACAAAACTGGCCCAAGCCCCAAGGACATGTGAAGTTCCCCAGAGGTCAAAATAGCCAGCTCTGAGCTCCAAAAGGAAAGGGTATCAGCAATTGCACCTTACACCCACAAGTATAAGCGGCCAGCAACAGCCTGGAGAAGGCGAGACCGGATGGTGGGAAGGAAGATGGAAGAGGGAGAAAGGGGCCACTTCTGAGGGTCAAGATTATTGGAAGCCAAAAAGCAGTGCGGTGTGAGCCACAGGGAGCCATAGCAGGACTCAGAGCAGAGGATGAGAGGAGACTGAAGCAATCATCCCATAGATGTAGAGGAAAGGGGATGGTGGGAGGGAGAGAAGAGCATTCTGGGCATGTGCAAAGGCCCTGAGGCCAGCAGGACTCTGGCTGGTGTGTCCCAAGAGCTCGGAGAGAGCTCGCATGGGTTCAAGAGTGAGTGACAAGCAAAAGGAGGCAGGAGTCGGGTCCTCCAGGGCTTCGTGAGCCATATCGAGACGCTCAGGCTTCCTCCAAGGGTCGGGGGGACACAGCAGCCCTGCTCCATACCAAGCCTGTCCCCAGGTCTCGGGGCATCCTTCTGAGAGGAGGTGCCACGCTGAGAGGGTCTGCGCGAGTGTTGCTCAGTTTGCTCCAGGGACAGCACCACTCCGGTCTCTTCCACCCGGCTGCGGTACAAGGTAGAAAGAGGGGTAAGAGTCAGGGTCCTCCCTGCCAGCCCAGACAGCCCCTGCCAGCCAGGTCCTAGTAGAGAATACAGTCGCCTCAGAGGCTGGAGGGGGTACTGCAGAAAATAACCTGCAACAATGTTAGCCTGTCAGGAGGTGACTTTTGTTCACTGCTTGTTATTATATAGGTTGAGATAACTTGGAAATCCAAAATCTGAAACCTTTGGAGGACCAACGTGATGCCACTGTGGAAAGTTCCATCCAGTGACAGGTTTGTTTCATACACAGAATTACTTAACAGTTGTCTACAATGACTTTCATGCTATGTGTATAAGGTGTGCATGAAACAAAGGGATTTTTTTTTCTTTTTTTTTTTTTGTCTTTCTGAGACAGGGTTTCACTGTGCAGTTCAGGCTGGCTTTGAACTCACTTTGCAGCACAGGCTGGCCTTGAACTCGCAGCGATCCTCCTACCTCAGCCTCCGAGTGCTAGGATTACAGGTCTGTGCCACCATGCCCAGCCATAAGGAATTTTGTGTTTAGATGTGAGTCCCCCATGAAAACTCATTATATATAAGCAAATATGCCAAAATCCAAACTCTTAAAACATGCCTTTTTTTTTTCAGATAAAGAATTTAACCTGTAATAGTATTCCAAAGACAGTAAAAGAGGGTGTGGTGGCACAGGCCTGTGACCCCAGCACTTGGGAGGCTGAGCCAGGAGGATCAGGAGTCGGAGGCCAGCCTGGGCTATGCAGTGAAACCCTGTCTCAAAGTAACAAAAAAGAGTAAACTTAGAACAAATGACAGTTAAGTTTGTCAGTTCCCAAGCTGCTTTTGCGGAAGGAAGGGGAAAAAAGAGTTGGCATCTGGTGCCAGCTGGGAAGAGGGAAGGGAGACCGGGGCTGGATCCCAAGCACTGAGAGACACGGGAGTGAACTGCAGGGTCAGAGTGGGGGAGAACTGGGATGAGTGAGTGAAGGCCCTGAGCACTAACTAGTCATGATAATTTACTTCTAAACATCTGCTACATACGTCATTGATGAAAGACATATATATTCTTCACTATGTTACCAAATAAGAAGAATTCATAGGGCTACATTTTTGTGAATAAGTGTTTATTTAGGAAGCTTCTATTCATAGACATTTTTCAAGCTGAAGGGAACAGGTTTCTAAATCCATCCTTCCTATGTCCCCACGTCTCCGGGCTCATGGTCTCCAGCTGCGGAGACACTGTGCATGCTGTCAGGACACAGTAGCTTCTTCAAAAAAAAATTTTTTTAAATGTATTTGATACAGGGTTTCACTGCACAGCTTGGACTCATAGTGATCCTCCTATTTTCAGCCTCCCCAGCACTGGGATTACAGGCATGCACCACCACTCCTGTTCTCAGGGGCCGGCTCAGTGCACCAAGGGGGTGGGGCCAGCACAGCATGAGGTGCCGGGGATTGAACCCTGGCTCTTGTGCTTGCCTAAGCAGGAGCTTAGTCCACTGAGCTATCTTGCCAGTCCTATTGGGCACAGTAGTTTTTGAAGAATTAGATCATGGAGCTGAGGACCGTGCTCGCATCTGTATCTCATTAGCATAACACCCTACAAGGCAGAAGGTGGCCTGGTCTTCTTCCCCATTACTAAATCCATCAGAGCCTGGAAACATCCCAATTGAGGCTACGCCAAAGCTACCCAGTCTTCCTGACAGTTGCAGCCTGCACAGTGGCATGTTTGCCCGTACCGGGATGAACAGACAGAAAGAGGAACACTGGTATACATCCAGCTGCAAGCAGGCACAGGCATGCATACACGCTGTACACATACATGCACGTTCACCACACTGTGCTCACTCTCGTTCACACCACAGGCACCTGTAGTCACAAGGTCCCATGGGGGGTGGCTCGTGTTCATAGCCAATGGCCTGGCTCCAAATGCCACCTCTGATACTTACAAGCTGTGTGACCTTGAACATGTGGCTGAACCTCTCTGGATTTCAATTTCCTCCTTTTTTTTTTTTTTTTTTTTGTGCAGAACTGGAGATTGAACTCAGGCCCTTGTGCTTGCCAGACAAGTGCTTATTCTACTGAGCTGTCTCCCCGGCCGTTCAGTTTCCTATTCTGTCAAGGGGGAACAACAACAGTACCACTTTCCCAGGAAGTTGTTAATATATGCAAAGTGCACAGTACTGGCCAGGCAGGTGGTGGAGAGTATGTGTATACTAGTGTTTCTGTTTTTGTTTTTTTACTGAGCAACTACTGTGTATGAGGCATTGTGCTAGGCACAAGAGATTCAGCAGTAAACCAGATAGACAAAACCCGTGGCCCTCATGGGGACTGCATGCTATTGGGAAAAAAAGACAGACTTTTAACAAAATATATTATTTTTGTGTTAAGCATATCTACATCTTTTTATTTTTTTAAGTAAAATGCTTGCACTTGGTTAGCCAGGATGGAGGTGTACTGTAAGATACACACTAGATTTTTTAAACTGTGCATTAAAAGAGGATCTGGAGGCCGAGTTTGACTTAGTGGCAAAACACTTGCCTAGCGTGCCTAATGCCCTGGGTTCAGTTCCCAGACCCACATCCCACATACAAAGATCTAAACTAGCTAAATAAGGATTACACATGAAAATGATTTTTGATCATACTGTATGTGTATCTACCCCCAATCAGACTTCCTTTTACAATTAATTTTATTTTATTATTCACCTTCATGCAGCTATTAGAAAATTCAAAATGGGGGCTGGTGAGATGGCTCAGTAGGATAAAGAACATACCAAGAACAAACTTAGCAAATCACACGGACCATGGTTCAATCCCCCAGCACCACAAGCCAGCCAGCCCTGCCCCCTGGTGGGCTGAGCTGGCCACACACACACACACACACACACACACACACAAATAAATAAATAAAAATTAAAAAAAAAAGAAAATTCAAAATGATACAAGTGGCTGGCATTGTGAGTTTATAGGACAGTACTGGGACAGTGATAAGCACTAGGGAAAAAAGTGGAGCAGAGAAGAGTATATGGGTGGGCCATATAAGTGTATGGTTAATCTCTCAAGGAACTGCCAAACTGTTTTTCAAAGTGGCTGCACCATTTCTGCATTCCCACCAGGCATGTGCGAGATTTCTACTTGCTCCACATTCTTAATATCAAGTGTCCTAAAATACAGCTGCGGCTGTGTAAAGGGGAGTCAAAAAAGGCCTGGCTGAATATACAAGTAAATGGGATTACAAGTATTTTTAAGGACTCTGGAGTAAAAGGTATAGAGCGCCAAGAGAGAAAATAGGGAGACCTGACTGCATGTGGGGGTTCAGGAAGTGATGTCTGAGCTGAGACTGGACAGATGAGGGGACAGGACCCCTCATATGGGGAGGAGGAGAAACAGAAGGGCATTCTGGGTAGGGAGAACCGCATGTGCAAAAGTCCTGAGGTTTGAAGAGCAACTGCGAAGGGTGAGGCAGGAGTCCCATAGGGCCTCGGGCTTTTTACCAAGGGTACTGGGGAGCCACAGAAGGGCTCCCAAGCAGCACAGAGACATGAAGTGTGAAGCGATTTGTATTTCAGGACACTTGATATCAAGAATGTGGAGCAAGTAGAAATCTCATACATGCCTGCTGGGAATGCAAAAATGGTGCAGCCACTTTGAAAAAGAGTTTGGCAGTTCCTGGAGAGATTAACTGTACACTTATATGGCCCACCTGTTCCACTCCTCGACGTTCACCCGAGGGAGGCAAGAACATGTGATCTCACAAAACCCCGGATGAGAATGTTTACAGTAGCTGTTTTGGTGATCACCCAGAAGAGCACACAGCCCCAAGTCCTCCAAGTGGTGATAGGTACATGAGCTACAGTCCATTCATACTGTGGAATGCACTCCAGTGTTCCAAAGGAGCTACTCATCCGTACTGTGGCATGGGTGAATTTTAAATAGTCCTAGACCTACAGTGGTTAAATGGATGTTTTCAACTCTACAGTCGTGCAAAAGCAGTATGCATTTAGTAGAGACAATACTTGTGTTTTGCCTTTTGATCTTTTCCCAGGCTGGTGACACACAGCACAGTGGCCCCTCGTGATGCTGGAGGACTTCAGCTCTATGGTTTGCCATGGTTCTGGGCTATGGGGTTTGGTAGGTCAGTTGTATTCGATACACTTTTGAATTACAATATTTTTCATCTTATAGTGGGTTTGTCAGGAAAGCGGGGATGCATCTGTATATCATGCTAAGGTAGCTAGAGCCCCAAAGGCAGCACACTATGATGCCCTGTATCCAGCATTCTGGAGAAAAGCAAAACTTTAGGGTCAGCGCACTGGGCAGTGGCTGCCAGGGGCTAGAGGCAGGAAGGGGGTGCCTAGGAGAATTTCTTGGGTGAATACACTATTCTATAGCTTGCTACCATATAGAATGTGGTAGTGGTTACACAATTGCATGCATTTGTCAGAACTCACAGAACTGTGTAAGAATTGCCTGTATATATATTTTTAAATTTTTTTTTATTTGTGTGTGTGTGTGTGGCCGGCTCGGCCCACCGGGGGGCGGGGCGGGCTGGCGTGTGGTGCTGGGGGATTGAGCCGTGGTCCCTGTGCTTTGCTGGGCTTGTTCTGGGTGGGTGCTTTGGACCGCTGAGCCATCTCACCAGCCCTTTTTTTTTTTTTTGAGACGATTTCACTATGCAGTTCAGGCTGGCCTTGAATTCACTTTGTAGCCCAAACTGGCCTTCACAGCAATCCTCCTGCTTCAGCCTCCTGAGTGTTGGGATTACAGCAGTAATGTAAATGTAAATTGTACTTCAAATTTTTAAAAGAAAAAAAAAAAATCTCTTTGAATTTTTTTCCCCTGGTGGTGGTGGTACTGAGGACTGAGTTTAGGGCCTTCATACTGAGCTACATCCTCAGCCCTTCTTTTATTTTTTATTTAGAGACAGGGTCTCACTAAGTTGCTAACTTGCCCAGGCTGGAATTGAACTTGCAATCCTCCTAACTCTGGCTCCCAAGTGCTGGGCTTATAGGCATATACCACCATGCCCAGTGCATTTCTTATTTTAACTTAGAGTTCTTTTTAATTAAATGATCAGTGCATTCATACACATGCATGTGTACATAGAGACATATGGTATGGATTCACATGGCCACATATGTTCCACATATATGTACTGTGCACGTCCTCACACACTTCTGCATAATACACATGCACACATGTATATATACAGACACACATACACACTTACCCATACACACAGACCAGCCCCATGCACACTACCACCCCGCTCTCCTCTGCTCACCTGATCAGAAAGTGGACACAGATGATACTCTCTGACTGGGGTCCTCGGCCCCCTGACACCACTGTGGCCTGAGTCTGAGTCCACAGGTAGCCACCACTCCGGGCCAGGAAGCGGTACTGTCCCGTCACTGCCTGGCCCTTGCTCAGCACTGGGGAGGGGGTACAGAGGGGTCAGAGCCACAGAAGGGCACCTGGGACCTGGAGGTAAGGGGTCAGTGGCCAGAGAGGATAAGGTTCCATAAGGCTTGGGGGAGACAAAAGCTCCCTGGGGGCTGGGGAGCTGGGGGCGGCTGATTCTGGCTGGGGAAATAAGTCACATACAGGTGTGAATGCTCTTGCTGACCGCATCTGAGTCCAGGGCGTGGATGTACTCATAGGCCGAGCAGCCAATCAAGTCATCTGGGCTGTAGCCAGCGACCTCTGCAATCCTAGGGTGGGATGGATGGGTCTGGTCAGGGCTCAGTGCTGAGGCGGAGGGAGGGAGGGAGGAGAGGAGAGCTGAGGTCATGGCACAAAGCCAGCAAGATGACAGGCAGGGTTGTAAGAGAGAGAGGAGAGTAAGACAAAAAAGAGGTGTGGGGTACCGAATATTAGCCCCCAAAGTGTCCACATCCTAACTGTTGGAATGTGTAAAGATGATGGCTGACAGACAGAAGGGACTTAAGATCTTGAGAGAGAACAGATGTATTCACAGAGAGACAGACCAGCAGACACTGGGAGAGGGACAGATGGTGTCAGAGAAGGAAGGGAGGAGGGTAGAGTGGGCCTCTGGGCACTGCCAACCTCTCATCGCAGTAGGTGAACTTCATGTCCAGGCTGTGGCGGCTCAGGAAGGCACCCCGGCCCAGCGGGGGCTCCAGGCTGCCTGGGTGGGGGATGGCCTCACAGATGAGCACCAGGCACTGCAGTGGGGGCTCGGAGCTGGGGCTCCCCGCCAGGGCTGTGTGACCCGGGGGCTTGTAGGCCCTCATGTGTCCAGAGCAGTGTAGCACCTGGGGGTGGAGCGAGTGTGCTGGGCTTGCATCTGGGCCTGGGGCTCCCCAGGGGGCTGTGAAGGAGAAATCCCTGAGGATCTCAGAGGGTCGGCTTTGGGGCACTCTGGGGACGCCCATATTCCAGCTGTACAGAGACTCCATGTTCTGAGGACCCCTTTAGAACTAGCCTGAAAAGTGTTACAAGGACCCCTACAGCCCATCCCCACAAATATCCAACTTCCTACATGCCCTACAGTCCTCCTAGGTTCACCCTAAGGCCTGCGCAGGATACCAAACCAATAGACAGACTCCCACACTTGTGAGAACTTCTGGGTGCAGGCCCCACCCCAGGCTGTCCCTGCCCACCTCCAGGTCAGGCCCCACCCACCTTCCAGGTGGCTGCCTTGAGGTTGAGGGTGCGCCCGCGACTGGTGAGGGTGCTCTTCATGCGCAAGGAGAAGCACCGCTCAGTGGGGGCCTCTGGCTTCTTCTTGGACAGGCCTAGAGGCGCCGGGATGGTGGGCGTGTCACCAAGTAGCTGCAGAGGGCCCAATGCCCTCCAGCACTTGGATGCTAAAGGCGTCCAGGCTCAGCCCCAAAACTGGGACCTAGAGCCACAGAGGGTCCTCCAGAGGTAGGATGTAAGGCCTCAGACCCCTTGGCTGGACTTGTCAAGGTCTAATGTTCTAGAGGAGGGGATATGCTAGGGGAGGAGGTGGGCCTCAGTTTCCTCCTCTGTAAAATGCTGGCATGGCCTCCAAGACACTCACTGGGCCTGGGAGTCAGGGCATCCTGGAGTTCCTCTTGGTCACAGGGATGGATGAAATCAAAAATACTGTGTCCGATGAGCTCCAGCTGTGGAGAGAGGTGGGGCAAGAGCATTGGGGGGATCCGGTCTCCCCTTTCTCCTGCTTAACACTCCTGCCTCAACCAGCCTGGCTGCTCCACCAGACTTCTTGCTCACTCATTCATTCATTCATTCATTCATTCATTCATTCATTCATTCATTCTCTAAGCAACCATATATTCAGCACCTATGTATCGGGCCCTCTTCTAAAATGTAGAGATACATCAGTGACCACCCAAACAGATCTCTGCCTTGAAGTACTTGCTGGACAGTCAGGCAAGACAGTCAATAAAGCAAAACAATAGATAGGAACAACAGGACAAATAACAAGGAGATAAAACTAAGGCAGGGCAAAGTGATACAACAATAGGATTTGTTTAGAGAAAATAGCTCTGGGCAGCTTTTTTGAGGAGTTGACACTGGAAAATTTTGCTGAAAGAAAGCAAGTGAGGTGGGCTTGTGGCTCCTTGGGCTAAGGGCGTTATTAAAAAAGGGGAGCAGCAAGCTCAAAAGCCCTGAGGTGAATCACACACTTTAGTTTAGGAAATGAGTTTAGTTCTGGGAGGAGGGACACAGATGAAAGAGGACTCACAGGTGGCAGAATGACATCTTATTCCTCTAAAAGGACCTCTTGTAGCTAGGTTTGAATCCTGGCTGTGCCACTTCCTAGCTTTAGGTCCTTGAGACACTGACCTCTCTGAATCTAAGAGCTCAAAGCAACAGAAAAAGTAGTACTAGGAGTGGGGTTTGTGATAGGGGAGAGAGGTCAGCTCTGGAACCAATGTATGTAAAATAGGAAAGGAATAGAAATTCCATTGGGGGAGTTTTTGAGGCACGATTAATGGTTAATTAAAACAGTTCTGCTTTCTACATGTCTCTTGTCTGTAGCTCCCCATCTCCATAGGTCCTGTCCTACTTTTGTTCTCCTGCCTAAGATCAGCATCCACTCCTTGCCGATCCCCCAACCCATATCTCACTCTCTCTCATGAGAACCCCATGAGGGGTCTTTCCAAAATGTACACGTGATTGTCCTTCCATGACTCTCCATGCCCTAGACACAAACCTTCTCACATTATCTGCTCTCTGCTGACCTCTCTAGCCTCTTCTCTCTCAGCTTCTCCCACTGTGCTGTGCCTCTAGCCCTGAGACATTGCCTTATTTCCCCCAAACACCTCCAGGTGTTTTCCTGTTCTGCTTTCTAACCTGAACATTCCTGATCTTCACTGGTCACCCATTTCCCAGTCTTTTGACTCGAAGTCCTTCACATGTCAGCTCAGATGTCCTTTTCTCCAGGAATCCCTCCACCTGCGCTCCCTAGGCATAGGCAGGATGAGGTACCCCTCCCCCATTTTCCATATCCCTAGGCTGTTCCATCTCAGCACTGACCATTCTGTGCCTTGGTGTCCTGTGACACACCCATCCCCCTCTGTGGCCACTCACCATGCTATTCCCCCAGTGTCCCACACAGGGCCAGGTACAGAGCAGGCAGCTCACCTGACTGAGGCCTAGGTGTTTGCTGACATTCTCTGACAGGTAAGCCATGTCTCCCTCAGCAGTGAGCACCATGACGAAGCCCTCCAGGGCCTTCAGGTAGCAGGCATCCAGTGGTTCTCCCTTGGCTCCCATCTGGTTCCACTCCCCTGGTCCCCAGGGCAGGGGGATGGAGGTGTCACTCATCAGTCCTGGGCCCACCCTGGCTGTCTATCCCCACCCAGGATCTTCCCCACATACCCCCAGGTAAATGGGGGCACATCATGGTGGCCTGGAGTGCCAAAGATGAGGGCAGGACACTGAGGTTCCCCAAAGGACACAATTCTAAGGGGTGGTCTTCTAGAGGGCAGAACTCTAAGAAGATAGAACTCCCAGGGGTCAAAATTCAAAGGGGTCAGGGCCATGGTGAGGTTTGGAATTCTAGGGATGGGGCAGCACCCCCCTGCTAGGAGGGCAGGACTTTCTAGATGTAGAATTCTAACAGTCCCTAGCAGGACATCTGAGGGACAGAATTCCAAGGGGCAAACCTGTCAGAGGGGTAACATTCTATGAGGCAGGAAACTAGTGGGCAGTGACTACCAGAGGATGACTATTTCCTCCAAAATCAAATCTTTTTAAGGCCCCAGGATTCCAAGGCATGTGAGAGTCAGAGAGAGAGAGAGAGAGAGAGAGAGAGAGAGAGAGAGAGAGCCTCCTGCAGAATGGAATTCTAGCTGGGTGGAAATTCAAGAGGAGGGCTATTTCAGAACAAGCTAAAGATGGGGAAGAGCGGCGGAAAAGGGGAAAAAGCCGTCAAGAGGTTAAAAACTGGGTAGTGGAGCCTCCCAGAGGTATTTATTGTTAAGGGACAGAGCCTACCCCCAAACGTCTCCTAGGGGGCCAAATCGAGGGCTGAGGAGCTGCAGGGAATTATCTGGCCTCAGCACTAAGACGGCAGGGGTTCTCAAAGGAGTGTTCCCAGGGGCGGGGCCTCAACATGATAGACAACTATGGGGGCGGGATTTCCAAGAGCTCTGGGATATGACTGGCCCAGCACTCGAAGAGACCGATTCTAGCGTGGTGAGGGTCTGCGGGGAAACCTTCCCAGAGGCGGGGCCTTGCTGCGACCGGAAGGCCAGGCGGGCTCACCTGCTGCGCAGAGGCGGTGCATGCGCAGGTAACTGATGGTGAGGCGCATGATGGAGGCCTTGTCCAGGTGGGCGCTGACGCCACGCGCGAAGGGTAGCGTGTGCGCCAGCTGGTAGAGCACCTCGGTCTCCTGGCTGCGCCGGCTACGGGCTGCATCCCGGGACTTCTCCTTGCGCAGCTCCGTGCTCGACCTGCAGGCATGGGTGGCATTCACTGGTGGCGTCCCCCGAAGAGAAAGAGGTAGACATGGACGGGAGAACCACTTGGGGTCCGCTGTGTGGTCCCAGAGAGTTCCTCGCACCGACTGGGGCTGGAAGGTGACACCCTCTGAAGCCCCTCCAAATCCCAGATTCTACCTGTCTTGTTGGAAGTGCATATTGCCCTTCTAGCGCCTTGCTCCTCTCCTAGGCGTGCCTGGAGCCTGCTCTGTCCCCACCCTGACTTATCTGCAGTTTATTTCCCAAGCTAGGGGACAGGGAGGCCTCCTGGTGGGAGGGGGCCGGCCGAGCTGGGCCGGGGCCAGAGGAGGGAGGGATCATGTGACGCTGGCAGCCTCCCAGGCCCCCTGCCCTTCAGCCCCCAGAGCCCCTCTTCTGCTCTTTTCCCTCTGCAGCTGGGTTGAGTCCTCAGACTCTTGGAGCAGAGCTATCTCAAAGTCTGAGGCCCCACCAAGAGGGGCCCTAAGAGGGGCAGGGCCCCAACAGAGTGACGCAGCAAACCAACCCCTGTGTTCGGTCCAGTCACCAGCCATTCAACCCTGCCTGCCCTCCACTAGAAACACCTCAATTCTTGGAGTGGGGTGGGGGCTCAGTGAACACCGTTTTATCAGAAATACTTGCAGCTCTTCCAGTTTCACTACCATGCCAGCGTCTGTGCCAAGTGGGAATCCCATCTAGTGCTCAGGTAACTCTAGCAGGAATAATAGCATTGTCCTCAGCAAACAGAGAATGAAACGGAGGCAGAGAGGCACAGTGTTTGTCATAAATAGCAAAGTGCCTTGTTTGAACAACTTATCTGCCTGAACTCTCAATTCTTAAAAAAATGTATTTATTCATTTATTTTTGGCGGAAACGGGATTGAACTCAGGCCCTTGCACTTGCCAGGCAAGCGCTTATTCTACTGAGCCATCTCCCCAGCCCCTCAAATTTTGTTTTGATGGCCCTGGGTCTATGTCCAGATTTTAGTGCTTCACCTTGATTCTGCACTGTCTTCAAATTCCAATTCCAGGTCTGACTGAATCCAGACTCGGCCCCACCTTGAGACAAGGTATTGCTGTATAGTCCAGGCCAGCCCCGACTCCCCACGTAGCCCATGCTAGCCTGGGTCCTCCTGCCTTAGTCTCCTGAGTGCTGGGAGCTTATTTTTGTTTGTGAATGAAAAACTACAGGGTATACTTCATCTGGTATTGTATATGGAGTCTTCCTGGCCCTGCTGGAATTTGAACCAAGGCAGTGAGGTTCCAGTCTCTTCTTTTTTTCTTTTTGGTTTTTTCAGACAGAATCTCGAAGCCATGTAGTTTGGGCTGGGCTTGAACTCAGTATGGGGTCCAGGGTAGCCTCAAACTCCCAGCAGTCTTCCTGTCTCAGCCTTCTGAGTGCTGGGAGAGAGAAGAGCACTGTATCGCAGCTTTTCAGTCTTTCCTTGAATCCCCTCCTTCTGACCCAGAGAAGCAGAGTCGTAGGGGTATGGGGCTATACCTTCCTAAATTCAGGGGAGCAGAGGCCACTATGGGGAGACATTGACCCCACCCCCAGACCTGAAGGTACAAAGGAGATTTTAGTGCAGAAGCATAGGTGGTGCAGGGGAGCCAGCTGGGAGGTGGGGAGGGGGGCAAAATATGGTTCCACACCCCCTCCCCTGGGGGCAGAGACCTCAGTCCTGTCTGCCCTGAGGACATTCCGTCCTTTGCAGACTGTTCCAGCCCTGTTTGTCTTCCTGCCCAGAGGGTGGGGGTGGGCGGGCCGCACGGAGCTGCCCCCCCCCAAGAGAGGGAACAGAGCAGGAAGAGGGACAGAGCGGGGCAGCACCCCACCTCCCAGGCAGCTGGGCTCCTTAATCCTCTCCACAGCACGCCTCCTTCCTCGGAGGGGACAGCTGGTGGCTGCAAGGGGACCTCCCCATTCCCAGCCAGTTCTCTGGATGTTCTGAGGGAAGTGAGGGCCTCTCCCTGGGTCTCTGGCTTTTTAAGTCTTGGTCAGAGTGGGGGCCAGTTCCTCTGGCTCAGGGCTGCACACCCAGCCGCACTGTTTATTAGCTGTGTGACTTTCGACAAGTTGCACAGCCTCCCTGAACACAGCAACACCACCCACCTTGTAGAGGGTGTTCATTTGTTTGTGTTTGAGACAGGGTGGCCTCAAATTTCTGGCGATCCTCCTCCTTCGGCCTCCCACACCTGACTTCTGGAGGGTTTTGAAGATTAACTGAGTTAATGTATGTTGAGGACTTAGCAAACTGGTTAGTGCCTGAAAAGGTTAAACCTAACTATTCCCCCCTTGTGCACATCAGCGATGGAGGCTGGGCTCGGGGGCCCCTTGCGCACTGGAGTAACCTAGAGGCGTTGACAGTAAGTAACCGTGTGATGTGTGCGATTAGGGGCGTGTGCAATTCTGTGCATGGCTTTCACATAAACACCCTGGGAGGGGGACTACATGCCAGTGACAGTAACAACAGTGTTGCTGTATTACACACTCACAGAGCTAGAGACTCACAAAGCCTGGGAGAGCTGGAGAAGCCATCTCCCAGGGAAAGAGGCAGATAGTGAGGCTCGGAGCCAGCCAGCTGGTAATCCCGTCAGCCTCGCCAGTGCTCAGCAGTCACCCAGCCTCCTACCAACCTGCCTGCTGCAGAAGGAGAGCAGTGGTGGGATTTCCAGGGACTGCCTGCTGCAGTCAGCAGCCAAGCCACATTGCTCCCACCAAGAACCATGACTTGGACCCAGTTTATCCTGCAGCTAAGGGTGCCCCGTCAGCTCCTGTTCTGTTGCTCCCTGGCTTCTCATCATGATCTGGGGTAGGGAGGGAAAGGTATGACTCCCATTTTCCAGGCTGCAAAGCTGGGCTCAGAAAGCTGTGGCATGGGCCCTAGCACATGGCCACAAAGCGAGTATGCTGGGATTTGAACCCTGACTTTGAGGCCTGTGTTCTTAGAAGCCTCCGTGGGTGAAACCCATGCTCCGGGGACTCCTCCCTGCTCCTCTTCGCCTAGTGGCCTAAATTCCTCCCCCTGTCCCACTGCTGTGGCCTCTGGATCTGCCCGCTTGGCCCCATGCCCAGCCCTGGTCCAGCCCCTTGGCACTCTGCCCAGCTGGGGACGTGCGGCTGGAATCCTGCCACCCTTCCTCCGTGTTCCAGCCGAGAACAGGGGGTGGGGCCAGGAGGCCCCAGGGTGAGGCCTGGGAAGGGGGGCTGGGCCAAGGCACCCCACAACCAAGAGGGAGAAAAGCCCACTTCTTCCCCACCCCAAAGAATCAAGACCTAAAAGCAAAGGCATGAAAGTAGAGTGCCTCTGTGTACACTTGGGGCTTCTGGTCTCTCATCTGAATTCTAGTTGGGGTGGGGGTTTGTAAAAAGTGTAGGGGCTTGGGGTGTTAGGTTTCATCTGGGCAAGGACCCTTCTTGGCACTGCCTAAGGGTGGCCTGGAAGGCCCTGGGCAGGGTTTGTTTCTGAGAAAGGATGCGGGGTGCTGATCCAGGAGAGTCACTCTGATGCTTTGTTCCCAAGGAGTTTGTAACTCAGCAGGCTTCCGATCAGCAGAGTCCTACCTCCTCTGGGAACCCTCCACCACAGTGGGCACTTAGTGGACTCCCCAGGAATATCCCTGCTCAGGGTGGCATGGCTGTGACTCTGAACTGCAGGAAGAAAAGGGCACAGAGGTAGAGGGGCACCCAGGCCCCCTTTGGCTCAAGTGCCACCCTAAGGGCAGAGGAGGGGCTGGAGTGTGGTTGGGATCTGGGTGTGAGTTATGGGTGGGTGGTGTGCTGTGGTGGGATAACACCACAGGAAAGGGCTGGCCTTGGGTGGCGAGAGGGGAGCACCCCAGCTCAACAAAGAGGGCCCCCACCCCGCCAGGAGGGGGTGCTAGAGGGTGGGACCGGGATTGGCTCAGAAGGATGGAGTTCCCTGGTGGGCGCCAAGCCAGGGATTGGAATAGAACAGGAAAGGGGGAGTAAGGTGGGGGTGTTTAAAAACAGGGGTGTGTATGGATCCAATCAGACCTGCCAGGCCAGGGAGGAGGGAAGGGGTGAGGCTCCCTGGACGCCTCAGATTGCGCAGGGAAAAACTAGGTACTTTTTCTGGGGTCTCATGGAAACTGGTCAGAAAGGACCCCTGGCTGTGGTCCCAGGGCACAGGTTGCCGCTGCCCCTGCACCTGTTGAAAGGTGAACATGGAAACCCACCTCTGCCCAAGGTGACCCTACTGAGCACTGTGGCAGCGGACGCTCCTGCTGCAGCTGACAGGGTCTCATGCTGAACCAGGCACCTCTCTAGAGGGTCTCCCCAAAGAAAGGTTGGGTGGGGCCCCCGTCCTTCAGCAACACGACAGAGTTGGGGTGGCCAAGTGAAGCACAGGGCCAGACCTTGGGAAGTGGGTCAAGCTTGTTTCCCTGTTATGCAAGGTGAGGGGCACCCAACTTTTTAAAAGGATAAAATGACTTCTGACAAGGGCCCCAGGCAGTTGCTAAAAGGGATCTTCTCTCTGTATTTCTAGGAAAACACAAGGTTTGGGAGATTATAGGAAGGGTCGAATTAAAGGCAGTCTCTCTTCTCCGGAGCTCAATCATCAGGGGACTCCTCATATCTTAATTTGGGGGTAACCTGTAGATCACAAGGGCCTGATGGCAAAGCACAACCTCACTTCTGGGGTTCTGTAGGCCCGAAGGATCCGTATGTGGGGGGAGAAAGCCTCCCCCCCCCTCGAAGCCTGAGCACTGCTAAATGCAGCCACCTTCAAGTTTCACCTCCAGTGAGGCAGGGTAGCCAACTTAGGGTAGTAGGAAATCAGAGATCACGACCCCAAAGCCGTTCCTGACAAGAGGGGCGGGACAGCCGAGGACTTGAGAAAATCCCGCACCCTTGCTGTCCCTCAGGTTAGAAGGTGCTGCAGGGAGGTGCCTGCTACCTCGCCCCCCCCCCCCCCGGGCGTCATAGGCTCACACCAACTCACCCCTAGTCTCGGTCAAGGGGTGCCCGGGAGAAGAGCCCCTCCAATGCCCATCATTCCCGTGCCCCAACTCCAGTACCTTGCCCGCTGCAGCCCCAGCGCCATGGTTCGCCCGTCTCTGCTCCCGAGCCCGCGGTGACCGCGAGCCCCCTCCCCTAGCCCTACGAGCCCCCTCCCAAGCTCCGCCCCCAGAGCATCATTGGCTGTGCTGGGTCCAGCCCGCAGTTCTTATTGGGCAATCTGTCTGTCACTCTCTAGAAGGAGGCGAGACCCGAGAAAAAGACTTGGAACAGTGACGAGCAGACCGTGTGTAATACACACCCCCCAACCACGCCCCTCGCCAAGAACTTCCTCAGCTTTATAGCTCCAGCCCGCGGCAGCCGCACTTCTTTCGCTCCGCCTCTGAAATTCAACAGTACAGTTCGAACTACCCAGCTCTCTTGGTTCCCAGAGCCCCAGCCACCACCTCCTCACCCCACCTGCACTTCACTCCCCCTTTTTTATATCCTAGACTGGCCCTCTCCCACCGCGGGTCCCCGCTTCCGATTTCCCCAGGTTCCCACTTTCCCTCTGTACCCCCAGCTCTTAACCCTACCCCAGTTCCGCCATCCTCGCTTTTCTGCACCCTACCTGCTCCCGTTCTCCACCCCTTTACTCTACCCTGGGCCCCGGGCCCCTCTAACTACCTTTTCAGGTTCCTGCCGATGAATAAGCCTCTGTCAAATAGGCTTGAACTCCAATCACACCCACTCCCCCCCCCCCCAACCAGGGATTGAACTCAGGCCCTTGCACTTGCCAGGGAAGTGCTTATTCCACTGAGCCATCTCCCCGGCCCGATACCCACTTTTTAAAAGAAGCAGAGTAATGGTATTATTTTACCAATCAAGTGACAAAGGATAGAAATTCATCTAGGACAAGTGAAAACAGTACACTTGAGTAAGAAAAAGCACGTGGTGTGTGCACATGCGTGTACGCTGGCATGTGCTAATCCGTGTGGATAGGGACCAGTACACTGGGTGCAGTTTCAGCAGGGAGGAGATCATTGTAGCAGATGTTTAGGGTGTAACAGGAGGCCTTGCAGATCTATGGACTTTCGAGGCAAGTCCCATCATGGGGCCTTTGCACATGTTGTTCTTCCATTTTAGCATGCTCTTCTGCCACCAAACCACATGGCTTTCTTTAGGGACTTTTTTTTTTGAGACAGGGTCATACTATGTAGCCCCGTGGGCCTTGAACTCATGATGATCCTCTGGCCTCAGCCTCCCAAATGCTAGGATTACAGTCGTGTGCCTAGCCCTGGTTGTCTTTTGGGAAATGAAATACGCTCCTCTCTCAGTCTATTTGATTTCTATAAAGCTAGCCATCCTCTGCCCGCACCAACTTCAGGGAGCATAGTGGATCCAGCCCTAGCCAGTTTATCCTTTCCCTGGTCACAGAAATTACTCAGGGAAGTCATGTGGCAGGTGAGATGTCTGGGTTTGCTGTAACTGTCAGTTGAGAGGTTTTCTATTTCTGCTGGACTTGCCAAGCTGGAGTTGATGGGCCTCCCACTGCTACAAAGATAGGAGAGGCCTTCTGAGTTGGAAATCAACACAGAGGACAGAAATGAAAGACTGAAAGTCAGTCTTGACAGTGGCCCTGGGGTGTCTGGGTCGGCCCATACCTGAAGTCTGATTGAATTTTTGAGCTGTCACACGAATCACCATGAATTCTTTTTATTTTCTTGGTTGTTACATTGTTTTAAAGCATTGTTTTATTCATCAACTTTGCCTTGAGATTAATTTGAGTGGATTTCAGCTGCTTTTTTTTTTGGTGGAATTGGGGATTGAACTCAGGACCTTGAGCTTGCCAGGCAAGTGCTTATTCTATTGAGTTATCTCCCCAGCCCTTTTTTTTTTTTTTTTTTGCAGAACCAGGGATTGAACTCAGGCCCTTGCGCTTGCCAGGGAAGCACTTATTCCACTGAGCCATCTCCCTGGTCCCCGATTTCAGCTGCTTATAATCCCCCCAAATCTTTTCTTCCTCTCAGTACTGTGGTTGAACTCAGGACTTTGTGCTTCCCAGGCAAGCGTGTACTCTACTGAGCCATCTCCCCAGTGCCCCCCACCCCCTGAATCTTGATAACCAGAGAAATCTGCTCTCAATCCTCAGTATTGAAAAGGAGAAAATAAGGGAGCTAAATTAGAAAGGCAGTGGGGACATGAAGTAGAAGAAATGTTGGGAGACACGAAAGGGTCGTAGCTGGTCACTGGGTGAGGAGGAGAGTTCTGCAGGCAGTGATGGAAGGGTTTGGACAGGAGAAGGACTAGAAGCTTGAAAGAAACAATGTACCCACTGATTTGGGGACAAGGAGATCACAGAAAATAACCGATCTGAGGGCTTGCTAGTGTATGCCAAGGGAAACCAGCACTTGTTAAGTAAATATTAAAATACAACTAAAATTATCACCTGTCTATCTATCATCTATCTATCTCAGGCTGCAGCTTCATAAGGTTTGCCTTAAACTTCACTAGGGAGTTTCCTGGTAGCTAAAGCAATAAGGGAAATATGTTGAAATCATTTCCAAATTATGCAGAAAAGATGTGTTCTTGTTTTTCGGAGAAATCTAAGAGTTTACTGTTTTCAGTGCTGGGGATGGAATCCAGGCTGTTGATAAACAAATCAACTCTCAATCCTAGCACATGCTAGACAAGTGCTCTACGACCATGCTACATCTCCAGCCTGATGCCTTTTCTACATTAAGCTGGATATGGTAGTGCATACTTGTAATCCCAGCACTTGGTTTTGTTTTGTTGAGACAGGATTTTGTTATGCAGTTCAGGCTGGCCTCAAATTCTCAGTGATCCTCCTGCCCCAGGCTCACGAGTGCTGGAATTACAGGCGTGCACCTCCACACCTAGCTACTTTTTTTTTTTTTTAAGTTTTGAGACAGGGTCTTGCTAAGTGGCCTAGGTTGGACTCAAACTTCTGATCCTCATGCCTCAGCCTACCAGAGTGTCCCCACCTGGCTAGAAAGTATGTCCTTTATGAGCAAGCCTCGGATGTCACTGCCATCTTAGGCTTGCCATCTTAGGCTTTCCATCTCGGCACCCAGAAAATCCTGCCCAGCCTCAGGCAACAGGACATAGCCTCTGCTCTGGATGGGAAGGGAGAGCTTCCAGAGGGAAGAGCACGTGAGCTCAGAGGCAGCAGCCTGGGGTGAAGCATCTCACCCGCACACTCCTGGGGGATGGCATCCGGGGGCTCTGCCTGTGAAGTGCATCCTGGGAAGGGACCTGGGCACTGTATTGTACAGCACTGGCAATTAATGTTCAACTTTTTTTTTTTTGTGGTATGGGGTATTGAACTCAGGACTTTGTGCTTGCCAGGCAAGTGCTTATTCTACTGAGCTATCTCCCCGGCCTTAAATGTTCATCTTGCCCAGCAAGGTGGCACATGCCTGAAATCCCACCACTGGGAGGCTGAGGCAGGAGGATCAAAAGACTGAGCTCAGCCTGGACAAATTAATGACTCAGTGAGACCTTGTACCTCTCTCAAAAAACTGCTTATTAACAGGGAAAGGAGGTTCAGTAATAACCCCCAGAACTGTGCTCAACCCTAATTCTGATAAGTCTGTATCGCTAATCACTGTCTCTAACACATCTGTTCACATCGTATGACACCCCCACCCCCCTCCCCACCTCCACCCCACCCCCACCCAAAGCTGGGAGCAATCGGTCCTCTAGATTTCCTCTCCACTCCCCCCTGGTGTGACTGCCTCCTAATAAGGTGGACTCCTTCAGGGCAGCTGTCCCCTGGGAACATTGCCAAGGGCAGGAAGTCCTTCGAGGGCCCACCTGCGGTGGGGTGATGGAAGGCAGCAGCGCGAGTCCCCGTGCTGTGTGCAGGTGCTGGGCCGAGTGCTCTAGGAAGTGAGCCCGCTGCATTCCTGGGCCCAATTCAGTGGGTACCACTGTTTTCCTCTGGAGGAGCAGCTAAGCTCCGAGACTGGGAAGCCAGTCTTCCAGGGTTCAAATCCTTGTCCCACCGCTCATCTGCTCTATGACCTTGGCCACGTTATTTAACCTCTCTGACTCAGGGTCATTTCTGAAAAATGCATTCGCTTAAAAACGCGTATAGGAGGGGCCGGGTATACAGCTCAGCTGTGCAACGCAGGCTTGACAAGCACGAGGTCCTGAATTCGATTTCCGATACCCCCCTAAATAAATAGCAGATTGGATTATCATTGCCAAAGCTCCACTCCCTCCTTGCTGTGGAATTATACACCTATGACTACTCTAGGGCTTTATAGGTCCTCTTGAGTATGTCAAATAGTCCCTGCGCTTTGCCACCGGGCTTGGTCATGTGACTTCCTTTGGCCAATAGGATGTAAGTCAGCCTCACACACCAAGGAGTGGCATCCAGTGTGGGAAGGGTCCTGGTGTCCATGCGCTGCTTTCACCACAGTAATTGAGCCCGAGACTGCATGCGGGTCCAGTGTACCTTGCAGCTGACAGAAAAGAGCGCGAACAATTTAAACCACGCCTTGCAGACCCAACCAACCAAATCTGGCTGGCAGGAGACCCTCGACCAGAGCTGTCCCATCGCACTTTCTATGACAATGGAACTGCTCTCCATCTGAGCTGTCTGACTCTGGGGGGGCTCTTAGCACCTCAAATGTGGTGACTGCGACTTGAGAACCTAACTGTTTATTTTTAGTAGTTCTTTTTGTTATGGGGATGAGAGTCACAGACCGCAAATGTAACCATTTTAAAGCATTCGATTTGGTGACATTTAGTACAGTCGTAACGCTGTACAGCCCTTGCCTGTGTCTAAGGCAAGGCCTTTTCATCAGCTCCAAAGGAAACAGGCACCTCAAGCTAGCATACGCAACATACGCACCCAGCAGACGCAACCAACGCTTTGCTCTCTGCTCGTGGATCTGCCCAGGCTAGGTATCACATCGACACGGTCACCTTTTGTGTCTGGCTTTCACTTGACATCATGTTTTTGAGGTCCGTCCGTGCCGTGGCACGCGTCAGCCTCTTCTCTCCTTTTTATTGCTTGTTCATCTGTTGCTGGGCTAGTAGGTTATTTCCTTCTTTTGGATATGGTGGAAAGTGCCGCTGTCAGCATTCGTGTAGGGGCATTTGCTTGAGTCCTGATTTTCAGTTCTTTGGAATACATGTCTCGAGGTGGGATGGCTGGGGCAGATGGTGATTCTGTTGAACTTCCTGAGGAACCACCCGAGTGTTTTCCACAGCAGCTGGGGTGCTTCACATCCTCGCCAGCAATATGGGACACTTCCGGTTTCTTCCCTCTTTAGCATGATAACAGCAGATCCCCAGAATTCCCCTCTTTGCCCTAGAGGGGGAGCCACAGAGACAATGACCTCTTCACAGGGCCAGGAGTTACCCCTGCGGCACAGAAATTCTGCTTCTCGTTTGCCTTAAAATACCTGTAAACCCCGCCCCCCCTTAACTCCTTGAATCAATGATAAGAAGCTGCCTTCTCTTCCAGCTTGCTTGCTACTGGCTTGGGACTCTTAGGCAGATTCAGTAAGACTTGAACAGGACACTAAGCATGGCAGCAGGATCCATCAGGATTTCTTTGGAAGAGAAAAGACAAGGTACACTCTCCAGAGGGAGCATACAAGAGTGAGGAGCTCAGGCACCAAGGGGCATGATGTTGAAGGTTTTAAGCCTTAGGGTTTGGGGTAGGATTGAGGGTTTGTTCTGAGGTTTG